AGAGTGCGAATCGATATGCAAATTGCCTACCAACAGGCCTTGCACGAGTACTTCTGGAATACGGAGCATTTAGTTTTTTATTTGAAGGCCATCGAGAACAATAGAGGGAAAATTCTCAGCATAGGAGAGAAATGGTGCTTTGGTGTCACCGTAGCAAGCACAACGGCATGCCCATTTTCGCCCAGTCATCTTACAGAAGCCGAGATTAGAGGTCCGTGCATCGCTTCCTGAATACTAATACAGGGATCTCGGCCCTGTGTGATTGAAAAAAAAAAAAGTCCCCGGGCCCTTGACTGGGTGTGAAAACATCTCTGTCTGGGCTCACATGTTACTTGCCACCTCGTCGCGCAAGCCTCCTGCTCAATGCCGAAGCATAACCGTCCGATGATTTCACACGATTTCGTGTGAGAAAGGACCTGGCCTTTCATGCGTAAACGTTTCTTTGAAATGCCAGGAAACCTCCAGAGATGGGGAAAATCAAACATAAGTTCCCACAATCATTTTCCATTTTCCCAGGATATCCTTTCCGTGTGGCCAAGTGGATCAAACGTTATCAGCATGGATTTCAATTTGCAATCTTCGCATGAATGGGTCGACTGCTGACGTATTTCGTGGTGGGAACTCATCGATTCCTTCCAAGTCGTTTTCCACCCACCTTCCTGTGAGTCAGATCGTGGGAAATTTGTCGGAGGGGCGTACACAATGTCTACTTAGTTGAGGAACAAGGGAGGCTGCGCGACGCCTAGAGTCTCTCGCTCCTAACGACGAAAGAGCTTACATCCGGTTATTAACTCCAATCATTGTCGGTTGGTGATCCAAGATCCGAGTTCTATCCCATATGTGAGCGTGGTCTATTTCGTGCCGCCGCATCGTGCCGTTGTCTACTCGCGAAAGGAGCCCAGTCCAATTGCGTTCAATACAAGTGATAGTTCCATCAATTCAATGCAAAGACAGGTTACTGCTTTATGCTTTTTTTTTGTACATGCTTCCGTGTCGTTCATCTCTGTACATTTTCTGTCTTTCACTCGAGACAGTAACAGAGAAAAGAAGGAACGTTGGCAGCCAATCACGATCATTGCTCAGGGTAATCAGCATCTGTCTTCCATTGACATCTAAGGTGAAACAGTGATCCATCACCGGGGAACAGAAGGCGAAGGCACGGTATGCAGTTCGCAGGAAGTGGGAACAATGATTGTAGACGCGCCTCTAAAACGCCTTGGAATGAGCATCGAGCCTCGGTATTTCCCACCTCGTCCGAGAATTTCAGGATCTCCTCTCGATCGTGGAAACTGGCACGCCATCGAATGATATCGCTGGGAAGGCTGGGTATGACCGAACATGGATGGGTCGCTAGTTCCATCATGTTCACCACCGGAACGGCGGTCGCTTCCGCATCAGAGCGGGTGATTGGACGCGTAATGGAGGGAACACTTGGACACTGCGCTCGGGCACTCGGCTACAGACGTGTCCGTCCACCCGCTGCCTCCTCATCCTCATTCTACTTCCCCCTCTGACAGCAAAATGAATGAGGACGGAGACTGGTGAACCCCTCCTCCTCTTCCACCCCTCGCTTGCCGCTTCGAATGCGGATACTTTGCCAAAAGGGATTAAAATCATTCAACGCTAAGCACCCGTCTCTTCTTCTTTCTTTCGATCCCTCACAAATCCGATGCCTCGGGTTCTATTCGGAAGCAAGCGGCGTCGAGGGCTCCCGAGCCCCCTCGCCATTTAGCGGGAACTCCGTATTAACTTGGCCGATTCATTGTCGAATGACGGAACTATATCATCATGCGATTCTCGGCCAGAGGTTATGCTATCGTCGAGTTCCAAGTCATGGCCCCGGTGATTCTGTGCCCCTTTGACCTCTAGTGCACAACTTTCACACAATCCGACAACTCTAATGCTCTTTTTTGTTGTTGCGAATATGACCTCATCCTTCTAGTGGAGCATGTATTTTTAAATGCAGACTCAAATTGTGTACGCCACCTATACCAATGCATCACACGAATTATTCGTTGAGTATGATTTGCGAATCATACTTTACTTGCCCAAGATCATCGTCGGTGAGATGAATGTGCTTCCCCCAAGATAGAAAAGGAAACCGCAGACGTGACTGGAGACTCAGGAAATCCTTCCCCAATTCATCACACAGGGTGGCCTCCATGGAGCTACATTTCGCATCGTGAAAAGATCCCGGAAATACCAGTAACGTGAAGGGATGATGAGTCAATTCGTGATGCAACCTTGACGGTGGAAGGGGGGAAACCCACCCTGAATTGAATGGATTGAAGAATAACGAGCAGTCGGGAAGGAAAGATCGCATTTCGAAATGCCCCGGGGTTTAGCAGGGGATTCAGACAGGCTTTGGCGAGTTGAAAAGCAGAGATCGAAGTGGGAGAAGGCGCCAACCATTCATTCCAGCCTACTCTTTCATTAGCAACAGTTTCACCGGAGACATCAATGAAGAGACCAACTGCTGAGAAGGATCTAAAGCGCATCAAACTATCGGGTGCAGCCCCCCTGATGAATGAATTGATGCCGTTGTATTGAAGCACTGTCACATCCTTCATGAAAACACCTTATCTCCTTGAAGGAAGATATCTGAGACCTTGTCCTCCCCCTTCATCCAGGAAAGGGGAAGCTTCATGAATACGTCCCCTCGAAGGGAAGGACTTCCTGCGAAACCCGAATGTCATTTCCTCCTCGTATTAAGGTTCCTCTCTCCATGAGGTGCTCTAATTGATTTCACAGAGGCTACATAGCTGTCGGCCTTTTTAGTGGTATTTGCAATGCTAATGAACCAAGTTCTCGTAGATCGACGTTTCAATTATCAGTTTCTTCAGAATAACGTCCGCAAAAGAATATAATTATATAGTGCCGCTCCGGAAACTTTCCCCAAAATAAAATGTCCGGAACGCCTATGGCATATAAACATGTAAAAAAGAAAAAGAAAAACGGCGTTAGCCGGGGGATTATGCGATCAACGAATATGATAATGCTCTGCAAGCTGCAGGATAAGATGACGCCAATGCCAATTGCTATCAACTACGAGGGCGTTTAAATGGGTGAACATGGAACTCCCGTCATTGTTTATGCCTTCACACTCCCTCAATCGAGCGGATAATTTCACGATGAGTTAGGATCATATAAATTGATTAAGGATGTGGCTCAAAGTGGATGATGCATGAGTGTATATGAAGGATTAGAATGACGGTTCGCAGGAAGCCATCCCGCTCTTAATGAACGAATGCATGCATGGTGCCGTTGATTGGTGTCTCCGGGCGTGGATGGGGAGTATCAAAGCTGGTGGGGTGCCGCAGAACTATCATTAGTCTCTTCATGGTGAAGTCATTATTAGGAAACGGTATTAGCATCCATGATGGATTACCGAGGTTGTTCCTCATCAGTGGAGCAATTATGATGGTGGTAGGTGTGGCACGCATGGCATGGCTTCTGCAGCCGCATTTCACCCTCAACAGTCAAATGAGCTGTCTCTTATCTGTTCCCCCTTCATTCCACTAAGAACGGGGAGAATGTACACGCACGGTCGCTCCCCTACTTAGCCTGGAGCTCTCTGCTTGCGTACTCCCCTCTAGAGCGGTCGAATATTTACGGCTTTTTGATTAACAGATGAAAATGGAATCTCTAAGAAATTTAATTAATTTTTTAAATAAAATGTTTACTCAGCGCATTCCAGAATGTGAGTCACATGGAAACAGGAAAGAAGGAGTCGTGTGATGCAAGGGAATCGGTGCTGGCTGGTGTCTCATCCAATCATTCCTTTTCCTTACTCGCTCTCTCCATTCCCGAGTCCCGACTTTTTCTTTTCATTCTCTTCCTATCTGAAATTTGTTCCGCATACGCAGGGATATAAACATTTCAATCTATCCCTATTCCGATCCTGTTTCCTGCCCTTGGCAATCGACGTTCATCACGTCAAGGTCCATCGAAAAGCATTGCAAAGAAAAAACGCTGAAGGGGCCAAGCGGAAACACAACTGCGCAGCGAAAGCGGCCCGTCCTCGCGTCTCAACCTCTCCCTCCAGGTTCGAGCGCGGATCCTCCATTAGTCGCCGTATTATGTGCAGGAGTCGCGTTCGCCAGGGCGGTCCAAGTAAATTATGCAGGGTGTAGCCCAGCCAGAAAATATAGCTCAACATTTTACAAGCGGTAAACAGATTAACCGACTCATTTAAGGGTCGGTGAACCGGTTCTGAAGAAAGGCTACAATCGACTGCCCCACTCTTCACGCGACTGCTAAGCACCTCGCTGCAGGAGAATGACAGGGAATTTTGGAATTCCAAGAACCAAAACGGCAACGCTTATGGAAGAGAAGAGAAAAATTCGTCTCATGTTGAGTTCTATGGTGGTTCATTTGTTGCGTGGTGAGGGAAAACAATTCGAAATAGAGTAATGTGGTTTCATTTAATTCTGATTTCGGATACCTCCCGCATGACTCTCTTCCCTGACGACGTAGGGTGACGCGCGAGATGGAGAAAATTACGAAATGCATCATTTGATGATTGCTTGAAAAAAAAAAATGAATGGGGGAAGCTGCTCCAACAATCGCAAAAGTGAAAAGGGGCAAGGGATACAGTTCACGATTGTCTGGTCATCGTCTTCCCCCTCTTCCCCACGGGCTCATACACTTCACTGATTGCCAGCCCTGGAAATTTGGGATAATAATAATATCCTGCATGGATCCATAATCAGGCTCATTTCCCCCCTAGGCCACGTCGCCTCGTGCGTGGTTCCTCTATTCCTATACACTGGTGTATGCCCTACGTCAATTCTCTAGCTCTCCCCCCCCCCCCCCCTCCCCTTCCCATCACAATCAGGCCAGCCTCACCATGCAGATGACATTGATCCACTTCGAGCCCTTTCCATTCCACGATCAGGACCCCTCGCTATTTCATTCTCAACCGTAACGGAAAAAGAAATTTCGTGCACTCCCCCTTCATATGGTGGCTATATGAAACCTTACTTTTTCATTTCTTGCAGGCAAGGAAAATGTCCGTGACAGAAGGACAGCACGAACACTCTCGAAGTGGTGATTCGGATTATGTTGTGGTCCCGGTGATAGTCCATCATGAGCCGGGTAAAAGAGAAACCTACAGACACCGGTCTGTGAGTGGCATAGTGTCAGCTATGTTTCTTGTGGTGCTCTATCTCCTCATTGCGGCGGTGGACCAATGCAGTGGACAGAGTCATTCCGTGAGCATTTATTCAGCAAAGTACCAGCAAACTATCACGTCCAGCACCCTAAAATGGGTGGAAGTGGTGGGGAGTAAATACCCACAGTACATGCTTCTCGGTGGGAGGATCGGCTCTGACGACCTCTTTGTGTGTCGCGCCAAGGACTTCGGTCGCCAGATCCCCGGTTACCTCATCAAACCTCTGTGCACAGTGGAACTGGCTGGGAAAGTTGAAAATTTCTCCCGATTCGATGTTCTTACATCAGTGGGGAATTCGTCATTGACACGCTGGGCGTCATGGAGAAGGGGCCTTATCCACGTCGACGGTGCCATCAGCACGGACGAGTTCTACATCATGAGGACCAGCGAGACCGAAGATGGAAATAGGTGAGACAAGGCAGACAAAGGGCAGGGTAAAATAATTCACTACCAGTTTCCAGGGATCGACGTTACCTGTTGATCCTCCCAGGCGAGGTTATTTGTATTCCATGCCATAACCAGCTCCAGCTCGGTGCTCACACAATAGAATATGATTATATCGACAGTCTAGACTCAGAAAGCATTAGGTTCCGCCGATACGTGAATGATGGTTCATGATTCGAGTATTGACTAGTTCCAGGGCCTCTGCCATACTTCTCTTGCTTTCTCTCTTAAGCCCTTTTCCGCCATCCTCATTTTCCTTGGAACAAAAGCCGAAAAAAAAAGAGAAAACCCCGCTGACGGTCTTTCCTTTGGCTTCACTGGCGGATTCATCAGGCTGAATGTGGACATACTTTCCGTCCGAATAATCAAATTCCACCTGTACATTCTGCAGAATGCAAAGTGCAATACAGGGTCTGCAGCATTAATGCCATATCCACGTTCTGCAGTGCAAAAAAACTGACATGTCGCAACCGGAATGACATGTTGTGCTGGACAGACACGAGCAAGAGATACGATGCAGTCTCTCTCGTGGCAGCGTGGCCAAGGTCATTGGTTCTCTTGAGAATGTCGCTTAAATAATGGTACGTCGCGTTCCCCCGGAGCTTTTATTGCTATTTACTTATCCATGGAATTCATAACTTTTATTGTGCAAGGAGTTTGTTCATTTTCATGACGAGACGGTTTTCCCTTGTCAGGTATTTGGGGAAACTGGAGACCAAGGCAGAGCATCAGAAAGCCCGCTTTGTGCTCCAGGGCCAATCCATCAGCACGCAAACTTCCGCGGAGATTCTCGTCGAGGTCATGCCGGACCGGTACGAGTTGGCCAACATCCAGTTCAGCGGGAACAAGAAGCGCTACAACGACCTCAAGACATCTTCCCTGACGACCAAGACTTACATTAACAATGGATCCAAACCACGCGGAATCCATGACGAAGTGGCCTTCCCAGTAAGCACTACATATCTGACCGGGTCAAGTCCATAACGATAAGTCAGTTTCAGCGTGCCGTTATAAAATGGATTCAACGTTTTAATTTCTTTCGAAGGTCACACTGGAGGAGACGTGGGGCCACGTAGATGGCATGTATACAGGAACACCAACGCAAATCCATCTAAGGGGAAGGGCTACCATGGAAGTTAGCTGGGGCATCCCGAGGCAGCTGGTTAAGGAGGAGATCCGCTTTTTGGAATTTGAACTCCCACCGTTTTCCAAGATCGTCCTCTCCGTGGATGGGACCATGGAAATCGAACAGCGCCCATTCACAGCCGTCCTGGAGTCCTATTTCTCCCAACTCCGGCGGGTGGAAAGGCGGAACGTGGAGGGAACTCACAAAACCACGAACCTTACAAACGTCCAAATCAGAAAGGAGAGCTTCCAGTTGTTCGAGAAACCAACCGATTTACCGGTCTTGGGCCAGGGTCAAGGTCCCATGCAGAGCGCCGACCCAGAGACCGTTCAGACGTCTATTCAGATCACAATGAAGAGCCCAAGCACAACCTGGGAGCCCAGCACCGAACCAAGCACTTCCTGGTCGGAACAGAAGTCTGAGTCTTCCCATGATTCTGGTCAAAGTTTTCAATCCCCAGAAATCTGGGTTGCCACCGATTCAGTCAATGATGCGGCAAGAAGGAGTGGAGCATGCATCCAGTCTGGCCTGAATGCATTAGTTTTGGCGAGTTTGAGTGCTGTGTGGTTGGTGGATGCTTTATGAGTCTTCGTCCACATTGTGAGCACCTCAGTGTCGATGTGATCGGGCTTTGATGAAAGCTTGAGTTCTAATGCCGTGACGTTGGCCCCATGAAAAGATCTGTTCATACTTCAGTAGGAGCAAGCACGCCAGGTCAACTTCAAGCAACCCGTCAGAGAAGCCCAAGAAAATGGCAGAAATTCACTACCCCCAAAACAACACTCCATCTGGATTTCTGCTTCTTGCCATCGGCCGTAAATCCCTGGATTGTGCTATTATATGTTAGTGAGATGTGGCTGAATGTGACAACATGTCGCCATCAACACCATCTTCCTCCCAACGAATGTGGTTTTCTTCCCCCCCCCCCCCCCCCGATGTCATCAAAGTTTCAAGACAGTTCCATAATGAGCGGACGGCCAGATTCAGTGTGGGTTACGCTTAAATTTCTCTCGATGCATTTTCTATGAAAGAAAAAAGATCTATTCAAACTCGGTTTCTTCTCATTGTCACAAGACCCACACACGCACTTACGGGAGATTGACTTATAATTTGGCAGATGTCAAACAGCATACTGCAATTACAGTTTATCCTACTCCTCCATAAGATTACGAAACAATTCTGGCCCTCCCAGGGCTGACTCTTCAAATACAACAATAAACTATTGATACTTTGATGCACAGGAGAAGGCATTTATGCGATTGCTGTAGAGCCCTTGAGTATGAATATACTGATGTACTGAATGTACTGATGAAATACTTATGGATTGAGAAAAAATAGGACTGTCAATGAATTTCAATAGGTTTAAATACACGGTTCCAAAGCAAAAAAAAAAAAGAAGCAGTCTCTCCGAGCTTCTTGAGTGGACATTCCCCTTTCCTTTCCTCGTTCATTGCTCGAAATTCCGTACACCGATCACAACGAATTCCTTTTGGTCGGATGATCTCTTAGTTCCCCCTTGAATCAGTATATCATACACAACTCCCGCTTAGTCTGCCAAGTTCCTCCCTAGTCCTCTGATGAATTCACATGGTTGGATGAACTGGACACAAGCATGGATTCCTACTAGCACATGGAGAGCCTGGCTCATCATGTCTTTGGCAGTAACTAGTTAGAAGTGGGTAAGCTCTCTTTTAATCAGACCTAGATAAGGATAAATAATTAGAATTTGAAACTCTTCTGAAATGAGTGCAGATCTTGTGGACCCAGAACTCATGGTACACAATTTTGGGAAAGCACAAATTACAGTTACAAGATGTACCTTACTCAGAAAAAATAAATGGACCTGTTACTCAAGCAGATCCACTTGGTTGTTGAATCTAATTGATTGGGTTCTTTTTAGTTGAGAACCAGGCCCCCACCAAGAATCATTTTGGTTCATTAGTACTTTCTAGTCACACAGACTTACATGGATTGTGAAAAAGGCAAATGACTAGGTCTATAGAAAAGAATAGAGGATAACCATGAAATTTGCTTGTCAGTTTCATTTCTGATCAGTTGGGGCCATTGAGCCATATGATTCAGGATGGAAGAGAATTACGTATTCTTGACAAAATTATTTTACAACATGCACTTGTTTCTCCAAATGTTTGAGATCCATCCTCAGCAATTTTCAAATGTAAGCATTTAGGCTTGATGAATGGCTCTCCTATAGCATGCTCTACAGTCATAGAGCTTGCTAGATAACATGATCTAGAATATATGGAAGCATTCTAAACATTATGAACAGTAACTGCAAAATTTTTGCTCTATGCTTCAAATTGTGCAGTCACACAGTATGTCATTAAAATTAGCTGACAGTTTGCAGGGCATCAGAAAACAATATGATTTTGGGAATGAATTCAGGGATTTGCACACATGACTTGAAGGGTTAACTTGTCAGAAAACAAATTTGTAATTTCTCTGTGATGCAAATAAAAATGACATACTTGGCATTTGGCATACAGACTCAAATGGAATAGTTTTTGTGCCATGTGGTATTTTTAGATTCACTTTCTACACTTGCTAATGGAGTTTGTACACCCAGAGCAAACCCATTTAAACCCAATCTATATGAAAATCATATATTTTTGGATTTACTTCAAAATAAATTCAAACTACACAGAATATATCAAGTGTCAGAAATCATAGGATAACAATGCGTGGAATTATTTCCTGCCTAGACTGTTTTGAACTCATCCCTCTACCTGATTTGATACTGTAATGACAAAGTTATCTAAACTGCATAGTTTGGTTCAAGTGAGCCAGATAGAGCCAACTTAACTAATTGACCCAATTTGAACTAAAACAAACAAGTTGCCCAAGCTGACTAAAATTGACCCAGTGACTCAAATCAATATGCCTACCTGCCACAGGTTTCCTGAGGATAACAAGGCTCAATTTGGGCAAAGTTGACCTTGACAAAGTTTGTTTCCTGAGAGTTAAAAGTAGCTCTCATTATAAGTAACACTCTTCATACATAGTCCTCAGCTATGAGACTCTCCTGACAATTCCCATTCCTGTAACAGTGGGGAGACTAGTCCTTGAGCATGAGTTGAGCTTTTGACAAAGTGCAGTCCATGATCCATCATTACATGACAAATGAACAAACAGATCAGCTTTGCTCAATCAAAAAGAGGAATCAAGTGTAGGAATGTGTTGCTTCATGCCTATGAATTGTTTTAGCATGATTGTATGGGTGGTGACTACCCCACAAAAATCAGAAACCCTTATTGTATACTACATTGGCATGGACATATTAACATAACAATGGTTACATATACGGCTCATAGGCAATGCATGATGCACTCTAAGGCACTTCCAGCATACAGCTTCCTCCTCATCTGTCTTTGTACACTCATTCATCAAGTATGCCCTAGCCTTGCCAAATCTGCCTTCCCCATGCAATCCTTCTGCTGGTGGTGAATGGAAAGAATAAAATAAGAAACAAGTATTCTTCCACATCTGCCATTTACATTTAAGCATACAAAGACTACTTTCAAAGCATCTGTGCAACATAAATGAACTTGAAAACATTAAAACTTACTTCTTGTAAAATAATGAGCATTTAAATTTTTAAAATACCATCCCTGGATTCCCATGACCTTCAAATCTATCACAGGAGTCCTGCTTATGTTTACCTGGACAAACTTCCATTGACCTGAAGACAGATTAATTGCAAACTTAATATAGAGGTACTGTCAAACCTCATTATAATTAAGTCCAAGGGACCAGAGCAAAAACTTATTATAAGGAGGTTTTTGTTATATCAAGGGATTTACTGTATCACCAATATTCCATGTACAAGAACTCATTGGGGTTGGTGAGTAAATCCCTTGATATATTAAAGGGGAGCCTTCTTTCAACTGAAGAAAGGAGAAAAGCCTTTGAAAAGTGATTTTCACACCACTTCACAGATGGATGTTTGCAGCTGATAAAAGCATAATATGTTGCTATTTTTTTTATGCATACCTCTCATAAATCATTTCTAGAAAAAAAAGTGACATCAGGGAATATAAAGAAGCACCACTTCAAATATTATTTAATAGGGCTGTCGATCGATTAAACAATTTAATCTATTAATCGTGAGCCATTTAATGAATTAATAGAATTTTAATAGATTTCTTCGTTCCTCCTTGAATCATGTCCTAGGTCTTGGGCATGATTCTGCTTGTGTCATGTCCAACACCCAGGCGAGCCTCAGGAAGTGACTCAAGGCGATGCAGTCACTAACATAGCAGTTACCATCCATAGTTCAACCTACATGTGACACATTCCAATCGAAGAGAGAATAATTAAAACGTAGCCAGATGAATAATGAAATGTAAGCAAAGAAGCGCACTGAGGCCCATTGCCATTTAGCCAACCCATACAGGCAGGATGCAAAAATATAACCTAAATGATTGGAGGTATACTGTGACATTTCATTACACGGAGATTTAAATATTCATTATCGATTCATGGGCAACACGGATAGTAGAGAAGAAAAAGCAAGGAATAGGAAAAGGTTTCACTTTCGTTTCTCCCTCTCCCAGTTACTTCCCGGGGGAAGTAACCGGGACTCCCACAGACCTTCGCCGACGTACTTAAACGTACGCCTCTCACTCCCGTCTTTACATTATCCGCTTTCCAGCCTCTCCTGTCCCACGTCCCTGTCTAAATCCTCTATTCCTTCTACGCGTTCCCTTGTAGCTTCTTCATTACGACTTTCTTTTCCCCATTCGCATCCAGTGATTTTTCGGTCGCTCTAGGCCGCTGCAACCAAAACCTTCGCCAGACGCGTGAGGCTTGCAAGGCTACACGGCAGGGCTTCCCAACCCATGGGTCGCGAACCGGCAACGAAATGCCAAGTTATGTTTTTCTTTGCGATTTTTGTGCATAGGTGGGAGAAGCCTGTTGATCTTCAGCCAGTGCTTGGGGTCCTGAATGGTCGTGGTCGTGAATTTTTGGGTCGCACGTGGAAAGCCCTGCTATACGGGATGCGTACCAATACGCTTTTGGATGCTAATGGGCCAGGAAGCTTCTTTTTCGGAATGGTCTGAAAGCGATAGCTTTATTTTGTGTGTTCCCTTTCCCCCCAAAAAAATTCTAAGTAATTTTTGAGGAAGAGTGAGCAGTGCAAAAATGACTACCAATAAGCCAATCATTGCATTTCATTCCCTTGATAAAGCATTCGTTATCGGTTACTTTGCAAAACTAAAACTGCACAGTCAAATTATAAGGGGAATAAGAGGCATTCATGGGGAAGATTGGGAGGTCGATTAAAATTATATTAATTTCGACTAAATTTTTAAATCGCGGTTATTATTTTTTTATTCGATTAATCGGTCGATTAATCGAATCGAATTGACAGCCCTATTTTTTAACGATAAAAGCAAAAGGCATTATTTATGAGGTATTATTATTAAAGGAGCATATAATATTTGGTCTCACCTTTTTAACACCTTTTCTCTGACTCAACCAGAGAGAATTTAGCCCTTTTGCTGGAGGGTGGGGTCAATAGCATATCCAAAAATACTGTATAAAAAAAAAAGGATGGACAGGGCATGAGTTTGTGAATGCTACTGTAAAATGGGTTTCTTCAGGAAGTTTTGCCTTCATTGATTAACATGCAACCAAAGTGGAGCAGCTTCCACTGCTTATCATCACTCTTTCCACCAATGTCACTCTTTATGACCCCCAACTTGTGATTTCTGGCACAACTCACTCTGGATGCCATGGATGAGGACATTTATTCTTTAAGGCCTGCATGAATGTGCGTTGTCCTCGATGTCACTGTTTCCACTGTTGAAATGCAGATCCCACCATTTCACACTTGCATAACAGTTGCTAGACTCACCATACACATTCTGCAGTCACACATGAATGTTTTCAGGTGGTATATATACTTTTGTGAGAAACTATCTATCAAAGCTTTTTTGCTTCAATACATCATCCATAGGTGCCATTTTCAATGGCTAATGTGCTGCCACCTGGGCATAAACAATGAAATTCCTGACGTCCATCAGTAGCAGAAACATAATATTTTATGTGAATAAAATTTCAGGCTTGTCTGAATCGTGGTTCTCCTCTAATAAATTAGGGCTCATTACTTTTGGTATGCCCCTTGTACTTCCAATCAATTCATTTAGCAAACACCCTCTGGTTGAATCAGAGATTGGGTGTTAAAAAATCTTATTTAGATATTGGATCAAAAATCATGGAATGCAGGTTATTATGAAAATAAGGTTCTAGATCCACCTCTGTTGTCATCATAAGATTATATGCACTCAGTTGTATGAGTCACAATTATACAATGATTATCATAATGGGCTTGAGGTTTACTCTAACCTACACACAAAAGACACCATGCATTAACTCACCCATGAGTCCCAACTGCTGAGGTGTGCATGGACCACCTTCAGCCAGCAGAGTTGTAAGAGTTGATGTGGACTGATAGTCACTTCCAATGGACATGGAACGATCCCTTTGTTGCCGAATGAATGTTGGGCTATCCTTGGAGCCAGGTAGAGTTGAGAAAACTGAAAAAAAAAGATGCTCCATAAAACATGATGAATGAGGTATCTAAACATTGAAACCATTAACCCTTTAACTGAGGAGTTTTTGCAGTTGTGCTGGGTAACATGATGAGTATACTCATTTGCTGCAACAAAAGGGTTAATAGGAAATGAACAGGCAAATGAAAACTATCAAGGAATGTCTTTAAAACGAATATGATTTGACTTTCAACAGAGATGAAAAATGCAAAGAGCAATAAAAGCTTTCTTGAGGGTTAAGAATGCCCCAGGACAATGTAAGATTTGCCTAATTCATTAGGAATCCTATGGGTAATTATCAAAATAGCAACACAAGCACTCTTCTAATTCCACCAAATTGTTTCTCATGGAAATGGTTCCTTTTTAATGAAAAAAACTTTAGTGTTTCAATAAACTCCACCCTGTAATACATAGCTATACAATTACAAATATTATCAGTATGCCCTCTTTTATAAGGGATTGGTGACCCTGGCTACCTTCAGAATCTTTGAGAAAATGACTTCTTACAGAAAAATTATGAAGATGTTCAGTTTTTTCATTAAAGTTTCATTATCAGCCGAAATTATCTTTATCAGCCGAAAGGCCACTTTTGTGCCACAAAATGACTTTTTCCATGACCTATAGGTACAAATGCTATTCTGTAACTTTTTGGGGAAAATGTTCTGATACTCTGTCAATAATGACTTCACATCAACTGTTTATTTTTAGGACAGTTGCACTACTCAGCTAGTGAATGTTTAAAGGCTTTTGAGAAAAAATCAGACAGCCAGCGCTTATGCAAGAGATTTAAATCTGTACAATGAAGGTTAAAGGTCCCACCCATGCAATCCAAAAAATGTTAATAGGTATCTTGGATCTCACTGCTAGAGAATAAAATCTTAATGGCATTGGAGAAGGGATCCCTGAGAAGGGTCAGCAAAATCTCACCTTGGATATCTATACTACTTATATTTCAAAGTGTTTGTGGGTGTGTGTGTCTGTCCTTTATGAATGGCCATGCCTCTTATCCCAGTTCGACAAAACATTGCATGGCTTCCTCATTTGGTCCAGGGATGGTCATAGGCAAGGTTGCATTTCAAAATTCAGACCTACCACAGAACCTTATTTAGTGGAGATTTGGCCAATTCACTACTACAGACTCCTGAAGGAGTCATATTTTTGGGGACTCATTAAAAAAATTTAAGTTGTAACATGCAGTTTGCTACTGGAATTTTCCAATTGGTAGTGTAGTAAAAGCTACATATTTTAAACAATTTCTAGCCAGGTTTGTCAAAGAGGCATTAAAACAATATTAAACCCTCAAATATGGGATGTATACAATATTCACCAGTGCAACACCAGGTACCTCTGCTATTCAGCAATAAAGACAAGTACCAGGAACTGGAAAAACCTCACCCTTAGTTGGTACTAACTCATTCCATAGTGGCGTGAATTACCACCATTCAAGATTCTACTCTAAGCTGAGACTGACGTCATTTGTAGAAATTAGTGACCTACTAGATACCATACATCCTGCAATGCATACCCAACTAGAACCAGAGAAGGAGCCAGATAGCTGCATGCACGAGTCAACTAACACATTTTTGAGTGAGTTATTTGATCAGCTCTGTTGTTCATCCCCTATCACTTTCTATGACACAAGTGTGAGGCAGGTATTATTAAAAAAGATATAAGTGCTTCTCCCACACTAATGTGTAGTGCTGAGAAATTCTGATTAACTTTTTCTTGAATTTTTGATTACCCTTGATGTAGAGCACACTAAGGGAGGAAAAGAAAAATGCCAGAAGATAAAGGGGAATGAAAGGAAAGACCAAAAAGGAAGGCAGAAAACATCTTGGCATGATGCAAAATTTCCTGATCTGTGGAGATTCTCCCACTTGTGAAGACTCAGAGACATAGATGCTTGCATGGGACCACAAGGCAATAGAAAAATTCCACATAAACAATGTCAACATACTTTTTTTGTTACCTTAATTTTTTTTTCCTGTTCTAAGGGATTGGGCTTCCTCCAGAAAGAGAAAGAATCCTCTTACAGGCTGACTAGGCAAAGTCAATAAAATCTCCACTGTGAAAGATTCCATGGGGAGAGGTGATTGCTCCCTTCCAGCCAATTCCCACATCTCATTCTTCTCTCACCAAATGAGATGGCTCATTTCAATTCTATTCTATGTTGGATATTCTGCCCCCAATCCAGCCAAACCAGATATCATGCATATTGGCTGGATGGGCAAATACCAGATAGTAAACAGGATATCCAATACATCACTGACATAAACCCATATGGAAAGGTATAGGAGAAGGTGAGACCTCATACATCTCTCACATTTTTTAGAAGTTTCCTGGAGGTCTGTTCTTCTTTGCTCTATCTTGCTTTTTGGTAACATCAAGTGTCTGTATGTGAATTCCTAAATATTAGGGCCAGTCAAAAGAAAACAGCAATTAATTTCTATTAGATGTCCATGCAGTTTATTGAAAATATTCTCCATGGGCATTGAGATGCCTGTCCCACAGCTCAATCTGATTTTTTTTTTTATTTTTGTAGAATGGCATCTGGTAGCACCATGTTGTCACTGCCTCTATCACATCATTGTCTGAGTGGCAATGCCAACCCCTCAATGTCCTCTTCATAGGGTGTCATTGTCAACATGACACCAGGTTTCATCACATGCCATGATTTCAGCAAAAAAGCTGCCCCCTTCAGCAAGGTCACACTGCAGTTGTGCAAGACAAAGACGCATGTGAATTTTCTTCTGGTCTTTGGTCAAGCACTTTGGTATCCATTTGGCACACACTGAATGGTACTTGAGACAATCTTGGACAATTTTGAGAACAAACCCATGGTTAATCCCCACTTCTGTGGCTATGGCAACCAGAAACATGTATCTATGCTCCAATCACCCAGTCCACCTTTGTAATGCTGTCTATGATGATAACATTGGCTAATCTGAATCTGGTTTACCTCCCACACACAAAAGCATCTGCCATGAAACATTTTGCACCATTCCCACACTCATTTCTAGGACAAGGATGTATCACCATAAACAGCAACCATTCTGAGATGGATATCAGGGGGTTTTGCATCTTCTGCACACAAAAACTGAATCATAGCCCTCTGATGTTTCTTGGACACCCCTTCAATGGAGGTAGCCATCTTTACCAGGTTACAGCACATGCAATCTTGAGCAAGCACAGATGCCAATTACATTTTCAATGCTACTCCTGTGTACCTAAGATTATTAAAAAAATATATTGGCTAAATAGGCAATTACCTGGCTGTGCAGTATACTGCCTCCAACCAAGGCATGCAGATAGAGTAAAAGAAGTTAATTTTTGGTTTATATATATGATTACATGAAGATGTGTCATTCACACCACTTATGGTGGGAGTTAGGCTGTTTTCAGTCAACTGACCCTAGTATAAACAATGCACAAGTAATGCATTCTTCAATTCCATTCCATAACCATAAGGGTTCATAGTTCTACCATTAGCATCAGTCTCAGCATATGGTGAAATAATATATAGATGGCTGTAATATATAGATAGAAGTTAACAGCAATTACTCACCATGATTCCCTTGCATGACCTCCTTCTGACTGACCTTCTTGGAGATGACACATCTCTTCCTTTTCAAGTACCGAGGAAGAAGCATCAAAAGGCCAAGCCCAACTGCAGCAGTGACTAAGGAAACCTAAAGGAAGGACATGTCATATTATTGAAATCCATTGTGCCAGGTTCAGGATTCAAGATTTTAAAGATACTACTTGTACTGAGGAGATTTCAGTCCAAATCTGAGAATATGTAAAATGTGAGCTTTTACAAAAGATCTAAAGACCCTTGACTAAATACCAGATATGAAGGGTTTTCTTCTAGAGCAAGTTTATAAGACCTTATGTTATGTGATTAAATGCCTCTGCTCTGCAAGACCAACTCAGAAGCAAGAGCTACACTGCATATTGAAATTATAACTAAAAAGACTGTGTTACCAATAGATTGCTTCAGTCAACTCTGCGAAAGATCAAAGTTCTCATTTAAAATGAGGTGAAATCAAAGACTATTTGGAAAACAATATGTGTTTGGAAACTAGTGATACACCTCAATTAGCTGAAATGAAATATTTTAGCATTCCTCTCAATAATAGCCAAGGGCATGTGCTGAGGACATGAAGATAACTGGTTGTGTTGCATGTTGTAATCTCCAATCTACCAATCTATCTGCCACATCCTCCCCCAATTCCCAACAGCTATTGAAAGGAGGCCCACTACTGGAGTAGGTTCACTTGGCTTATTTTGTCCCTGTAATCATAAAAGGGTGGTCTAGAAGTCCTCCAACATTGTGTCAATAGCTTTGACTTGATACTCCATGCATTTCTCTGTTAAGTGCACTAAAAGGTGATGGGCATGTGTGCAAACAAACAATACTGGAGAAACTGAAGCCATTCACCATTGAATCCTTTGCAAAAATCAGACTAGAATTATGCAGCAAGGTGTATTGATCATCGATCAACGGAGCCATTGCTACATGCTTGAATGGAGTGAAGAGGAGCAAGGATCCAAAGAATCAATGTAAAATTACAATTGGTCAAATGTTAAGGATTTACAAGTCATCCTGTACACTGTTCCTACTCTAGACAGCAGTTGTGAGTGAAGTAATAGTTCACAAAGAATCAATACCTCTAACATTTTGAATCAGCTGGCATAAGAACAGGAAAGTTATGCTCTTTCCATTTTAATTGAATCAGAAATTGAGATGTTCAAGGTCTAGCATACATTCTTCAATCTCAGTAGTCTATCTCAGTTGTCAATTGAGATAGTAGAAAATTCTCACAGATTGTGACCATCACTGTTCAACCGATTTTTTTCCCTATACACCTCCATATTGTCATCATTGTCAAGGAATCAGGACATTCCCTTAGCTTTTAAATTTCTATGACTTTCTCACCTCATTTATTGTTGTAACAGCACCAGTCTACTCTTTTCAAAGTCTGTGGAAAGGGAACCCAATAAAAGGGCAGATGAATTTGTCATAGCAAGGTATACATATTGACTGAAGTAAATTAAATGGACTAAGTTATATTGAAACACAAGTGCTTCATCTGATATTTTTTTCACAAAAACATGGAGTGGTCAAATAAGGCTCACATTGTAGCTAGCCTAATAACCTCATACTGAAAAAAAACAACAAAAAACAATCCAAGAAAGTTCAATCCCCATGGAATCCCAGAGAATAAGGCAATAATTAAATGAAAGGGTAAATAAAAAAAGTTCATTCTTTCCACAGTGGTACATGAAACAGCTTGAGCTAAATGCAAAAGCAAATTATGTAAATAGATGGACTAATATTCAGATGATGTGCAGGAGATTGAATCAGCACCTGCTGAGGGCGTGGCAAATCCCTGAAGTGTCGGATAGATGAGAGTATGATCCGAGGGATAAGTGGTGACTGGTTTGGACTTGGCATCTGAGGGAGAGAGAAAAAACAGCCTAAGATCATTACAGTATCACTGAGACCTAGAACGATATGGTCAAGCTGTAAGGGGTTTAAATTTATATCTTTTAGCAAAATGATCCTGAAAGCATTAAAACAAGTATATAGCAGCATCTTTTATCATGTTTTGGTTGCTAAAATAATTTGGAATGCACCCATCCTGATGGTACAACAGCTTCAAAAGAAGGAAAATTTCATATACTCAGAACAAAAATAAAATTCACAGAGCAGAATCACAAAAGAGCCCCACACCATACACTATGAGTAATTAATGAATTGCCTGATGATCTAAGGCTAGCAAAATCAATCTGACTCTTTAAAGCTAAAGTAATCATTTTCAATAACGAGAACCTAACACTGGAACCAAATCTTTCATAATGGATGGGATGATTTAATAGGCAGACTGGAGGTCCATCACAAACAACCATGAGTGACTTTCATTTTTGTACCTCAACCCAGTCACTCAGAGTTCTATAGTTTGCTTATTGCATTGTGCCTTTCCCTTTCTATTTCTTTACTCTTGCCTTTGTTCTTCCATTTTTTTTCCTTTGAGTTAGTATAATCTTTCATTTTTGTCCTTATCTTTCCTTGATATTTTTCTGTCCTTCAATTGAAGCAGTTGTCTTATTTCGTTACTTTTCAAGTTTTTAAAATTACTTTCCCTCTATCTTTCTCTTAGTTTCTCTTTTGTGTCTTCATACAAAGAATTACACGATTTTAATAATTTTTTGCCAATAATTTGTATTTATATACATACTTATTCTTATTCATTTTCTCTGAAGAAAATAGTGAAAAAGGACTTGCTTTCCAGCTAAAATAAAATTGGTAGTGCACATGAACTATAAGATGATATGATCCTGCATTCCAGAGATATGTGTTTTGTTACCACACAACAAAAAGATTATCAACAATTTAAAATATTTTCAAATTTAACCCTTTCATTCCTGACAGGACTCAGGAGTCCCCAAAACTTTCATCCATAAACTAATTCTATATGCTAATAGATAATTTCATTTAATTTTTTAAATAATGAGGCTCTTGAGTCCCATAATGTAAAAAAGTAAAAAAAACGTATATTTCTGTCAAATTTGATTAATGGATATGAATAAAAATAATCTTCAAGAGTGTGTTGTAAGATACCCAAATCTCTAGTTTGTTTCTCATTAAATTAGTGCTGAAAGGGTAAATCATGAAAGTTTGATGAAAGATACAACCATTCATGAGAACAGGACAACCATCTATTCATAATAATCTGAGGAGGATTGAGCCAAATCTGTCCAAAATGCGATGTGGAAATGTTGGCATGAAATGAAATGGACTGAAAATCATTTTATCTATGAGAAACTGGGGAACTTGAAATTTTCCTGGTCTTGGAGGACCAAGGGTACTGTATGGTTCTGCTAGTAGAGGAGTCAGGAGGTGGACAGATTTGAGCCAGAAGGACTAGTTCCACTGTTCAAGTCAACAAGGATTAAGGCAGGGGTGGCCACCCTTTTTGCCCAACTGGGCCACATTGCCCCTTAAGGGACCTCCCGCAGGCTGCAATGCCTATTTTTTTAACATTGCATTTACAATAATATTCGTGAAGTGCTGTGGGCCAGATGAACTGTCGCTGTGGGCCGTAGGTTGGCACCCCTGGATAAAGGTGAATCACTTTAACCATACTGGCAACAACAGTGTGCTTCACTCAAATAGTAGTAACTGTGTTGGAGTCTTTTTCCTGAATGTCATTTTAAATATTTTCCTGGCTGCATATTATTAATTGGCAATGTGAAAACTTCCTGCACATGTTGTGGGCTCAGTTCCTAAATAAGTATTGGAGCAGTAATGTACCATTTAATGTAATTGCTCTTAAAAAAGCAGTAATGCTCCAATTGGTGGAAAGAAAGGCTATATACAGTTAAGAACACTGTTTAGCTCCATACTTTTCTCACAGAAGGGCTGATAAGGGATCATCTCTGAGATTACAAGGTGGAGAAGTATAAGCTATTAGAATGAATAACCTCACCTCGAGTAATAACCATTTACAGGTTTATGTCTCTGAGTCTTACAATTCACCAGTAGATTCCCTCACTGAACCAGAGGTAGGAAAGGCCCCAGCTGCTCAATAACAAATCTTCATTCCTCACTGTTACAATACTGAGCACTGAGCACTAATTCAGAACTAGCTGCATATAATTAGTATATTCTTTGAAGTGGCCATAAGATCAACCTGAAAATTCAAATATTCTCATCATAACTTATCAATGCAGAACAAGGGAAGAGATAGGCTTAGGCAAAGATGCCAACACTCATGTTCTTCATTTGTGGGGTTATGTAAAGTATCCAGTATTATCATATTGGGCTGTCTTGTGCAGAACATAACTCAAGGGAAAAACTTCAGGTAGTGTAACAAAGAGATACAATAATCTTTGAGTTTCCAAGGCCATTTGTAAGGCTACTAAAATGTTTCTAAATTGATCAATGGGGAAAATAAGTGTATTTCCTATGTTTGAAATTTAAGTTACACTAGCAGTTCATAGTTCATTTAATTAGGGAATACCAAATGGTGGTTCCATGTCAAAAAATCAGAGCCAAAACATTGACATGAGAAGATATCAATGTAACAAAACATCAACACAACAAAATATCGTGATGAAGCATTGTCATGACAAAACATTTACCTAGTTCTTCAAAAATAGTTCAGATTATGACAGTACCTTAGAAAACAGCAAAAATGTCCATGCCATTGCATTATGTCCTCATAGTTATTCACCTCTGTGACATTTATAGGAAAAAAAAAAAAAATATAAACCTACAAATGAGTTTGGGTTGATCCACCAAAACAAATTGGAATTTCCCCATAGTCTGGTTAGGAGCTGATCAACTGACAATTAAACTTTTTCAAATCTGAGTTTTCTTATTTCTTTTTCTTCTCTTTGTTTCATGGCTTGTAGTCTTCTTTGAACACTTCCTTCTTGTAAGATCACCTTGCTTGCATATGATAAGCTGACTTTGTGGAGGTCTTCTGATGACCTTATAGCTGGGATCGGGAACCTTTTTGGCCATGTGAGCCATATTAAGATTAAGCTAAGTGCTTGTGAGTGAAAGATATTCAGAAAAACATAATTTTTCCCTGAAGTTGGTAACAGACTTATACATACCTTATAGCTGGGATCGGGAACCTTTTTGGCCATGTGAGCCATATTAAGATTAAGCTAAGTGCTTGTGAGTGAAAGATATTCAGAAAAACATAATTTTTCCCTGAAGTTGGTAACAGACTTATACATTTTTTGATACATGAGAAAAATGAGAAACAAAAATGATATTCAGCCATGACTCAATGTGTCAAACTTTTCAGCTTGTGAGTCAAGTTTGGCTCATGAGCCATAGGTTCCCGACCCCTGCCTTATAGGTTTCCAGCCCGCCAATTATGGTGATTCCTTTAAATGGATGTCAGCTGCATGAAGATGTGTCTGGTCCTCCATGAAGAGAAGCCTTACTTCACCTAGTTAAGTTCTGGCTCACCTTAATATAACATTTTACCTAATTCCTTGATTGTAGAAATTCCCTTTCTGGGATTAGAATTCCATATATAAAGAGCAGTCAGGTCAGATACTTGTAGAAGTACAATAATATATATATCAGTCACTTAAGACAGTAAAAAATACAGGGTGTCCCAAAAGTAAACACATGCCATTCAAGCATCATTTAACAAAAATCAGCAAAAATTAGCATGCATATAGATTTTGACAGAATTTTAGTGTGGAAAGTTTTATTATTCTCAGTTGAAGCTGGACTGATTTGTTATGTCAAATGACTTTTACATTCAAAAAGTTATAGTGTCAAAAATACGGACGGCCGTTTCGGCTAACTTGGTACCAAGAGTACTTAGACGCGTCGTTCACTCACAGACGTACGATAGGTCTTACCGTTTGGAGGTTAGCTTCACTGGCTGAGATGAATGCATCAGTGGGCATGTCCAGTGCATTTTCTTAGCCTTCAAGTTTTAAACAGGGTATCATGTGATACATTCAGTCATGTTTGTTCAAAATTTGCAAAAGCCTTCTTTCATCTATTCACATGCAGTTTGTGAAATATTGAGCCAATTGGGTGAAATTTATTATCATTCCTAAATAATAAAAATATTGGCAAGTTTTTTGAGCTTGTATGGCACACTTTTTTACATTTCAAGTTTGAAATGGCATAGAACATGATAAAATGGGTTAATCTTTTTTAATTTGGCACATACCTTCTTTCTTCTATCTACATGTAGTGTTTATAAAAACTAAGTCAATCTGATAAAATTTACAGTCATTATTTGCAAAAATGATTTTGCAGAGTTTTTTTTTAAACACTGTGTAGTCCTGCCCTAGTAAAGGGATGGCAACCAAGGCATAGAAATTAATTTGCCTTTGCAAAAATTCTGTCAAGCAATATGCATGATTTCATGAACACATCACTGCTAATTGAGAAAAAAGCCACCAATACAGACTTACATCCTGCTTTCCAGACATTTTCTGTCTTTCAGATTTGTACAGTTTGAAAACCATCATTATTGACATATTTAGAGCATCAACTTATGCTTCTTCCTTAACTGTAGGGCATCATCCAGTGATGAGAGTGTTGGTGTTTCATTTTCCCAATTTCTTGGTCAATGCCCAATTTTTGTGGATGGTAGAATGTATCCAGTCATACTAATTACAAAGGTACTAGAACCTATACATGTCACAGTATCTGACAACAACCATGGATCCATGAACAAGGCATATTGTAGGGAACTTTATGCATAACATACCTGCCAACATATTTAGTTTTTCCATAGACAATTTGAGTGAGATGTAATCCCATCAGCAACAACACATCAATGTGTGAACTAAACCAGAAGAGTAGCATTACAGGGGGGGGGGGGGGGGGCATGCCCCCCCCCCCCTTAAAGATAAAGACAGATGAAAGAGATCCCATTCCCTTTCAATGGTAATGTCTGCCTATGTCTCCAACACACTGAAAGCCCCCCCACTCTTCAAGAAGCAAAAGAAAAAAAAAGAAAGGACCCATGAAATGCATGAGTGTCCCAGAGTTCCTATGTTCCCCCACTTTTTACATCCACACTACTCTTATAGACCAAACTTTTTCAAGATTTCAAGGTGTGCCTTCATACAAATAATGATATATGAAGCATTAGCACATAAACCCATGGCTTATTTATTCTGCATGCTTAACCTCGTATATAGGCTATAAATTATCCATACCCCAGAAGTGCCAAATTCTACACAAGGAATAACGTACTTGCAGAATACGTTCACACGTGCAAGTGAACATGATTTAGGACTATCCACCCCTCAGTTTGATGGCTTCTGCGAAACCTCATTCCACCAAATATCCCCTTCCCGACTGCCCATCAGTTTTGAAATCCTTGCTTAGGTTACGGCTCTGACCAGTCCAATGCAATGGCGTAAGTCAAGGTCTATTATCTGATGCCAATTAGACATTTATTTCAATATTGATGCAAGACGACCCATGACTGACACAGAAAGGGTGTCTGCAGCGAGAGGAGCTGCAATGTGACGAGTTATAAAGTGAATGTTGGTCTTAACGTCAGCTCTAGTCAACTAAAAACGGTGCTCCTGCCGGTCCAGTTCATGATCTCCCAGATGCGCGTGTACCATGGGAGAAGCCATACTATTTCGAGCATAGATGCAAAGTTTGTGAGATTCAAATTCGCTTTAAAACTCTATCAATCAATCGAGCAAAGCATGGTAATAATAAATAATAGTATTTAAAACCAATATTTTTTATTCTAAAACATTTTTGCGTCAGAGGAAGAAAAGAGGTGCAATATTTCTGAATTACTGAGCCAAAAGAAAAAAGTGACCCAGGGCTAACTCCCTGACGGTAGGACCGGTCTATCTGAATTCGATAAGTATTAAGCGCTCGTCAATGTATAAACAATGCACTCACACAGTACAGTATTTTTCACTTAAGTTAGATGAATTTTTATTTGACTTAGACACTCGTGACTGCGCATTGGTTTTATCAAGACCTGGGTGCAGTATTTGTAGGGTAGGCCTATGCAAGTTACTTTGTGCATCTTCAAATTGACTTAAGCCTACGCCAGAGCCAGCGTATTTTATTATTTTGGTTGTAGATGATCCAAGTTCTGCTGCAGTATCTGTTATCATTGTCTTTTTTTGTGAATTTGTCATTATGCCGGGTAAGCCATAAGCAATATCACTTTCTAGTCCCTGTCCATAAAATGATCAATGCATGCTAACAGAAAAATTTAAACTGAAATACTATAGCATGAAGACACTCATTGCAGAAATCTGATCTACTAAATCTACTAAACATTGCCTTCAGTGCATCGGCAGTCTATTGAGCCCAGTAAGCTGTGAAGAATGTGATGTAGCTTGCCATGCCAGGCAAAGAAGCTATAACTTTTTTTTATTATTCATGAATGGTGTAGAAGTCTATATTGAATGGCAGATTGATAGCCATAATTTATCCTGGAAAGTATATCACTCACAAATCGTTTTCAGAAATTCATTAATGCTGCAGGATTTTGATTAGAACATTCCTGTTAGTGTGCAATGTACTTTATATGGAGTGTAAATCTAAACTAGAAAGAAATTGAATTACTTACATACTATGCCACATAATAAATTCATCAGGAAATACTTTCACCTGGCTGTTTTAGTTCTAGTTATGGCATGAATGAAGAGAAGAAAAATGGGGATCTGAGACTGAGTCTTGTGGGTTTCTGACTAAAAGTTTCCTTATCTGAGACAGATCCATCAGTTGCAAATCTCTGCTTGTAGTTTATCAAGAAATCTTCTATTCATGAAGCAAGAACCACTAAAACCACAGGTTCTCAACTTAAGTAGTCTCTCATGAGGAGTTATGATGTCAGACTGATGGCCTATGCCCAGACTTTTGCTCATTCATGCATAGCACTGCCAAGCTGTGTTCAATATAAGCCATCATGGAGTCATGGTCATAGGTCTATGTATTGAGTTCAGTAGATAGGAATACAAAAAAGACTGTCAAAGACAACTCTAGGTTAGTGATATGATTCAGTAATGGTCTCACAATGTGTCTGTCTGTTATAGGAAAAGCTCTAAAAGGTACTGATTTCAAATAATCAAAATGAGCTTATGGAAGGAGAGATGACAGACCATGCCATGAGTAAACTATTCAGAAAATCCCTGAGTGCTTCCATCATTGATATCCTATTAGAATGAAGAATCAAATATCATATTTATGTGTTGTAGCTTAATTTAGATTGCTAGAAGCTTGCTATGATGGAAGCTTCAGAATCAAGTATAAGCTTTATTGCAGATCAAGAATTTATGCCTCCATCCATCTCAACCACTGATATTCAAACTGACCTATGCCATTGGGGTCTTCCTGAACCCATCCTGAATGTAAGTTTTTAATTATTGATACCAGTACCTCAGTCATACTTTATTTCATATCAAGTGATATCCATTAATCACCTGAAATACTATATATGAAGACTATATTTCGAGGAAAATACATAATTCCTCCAAAATTCCCTCATCCATGAAGTGTAAGCTCTCCATACAATCAAATTCATCTGGAGACTTACCTACTCTTGAAGGAACCTGATTTCAATGAATATAGATAAGCAACTTCAATTGAAAATCTACTTTCTTTCACCTTCACATAGGTTTATTGGTTCTAATTTACAGAAAAATGACCATGAACTAAGTGTGGTACATTTCAAAACAATGAAAGAGGCTGTCCAATAAAAGGATAAATGAAAAAGGTACCCTTTGCACACCAATCTAAAAATACTTTCTTGAATATCAAATATGAGCCTGTATTACTTATGATATATCTTAATGAAGCCTTATGAGCCTTATCTTGTCTGAAACATGCAGAAATATGCAGAGCATGGAATCACAACCATGTTCCCTTGGCAAGTTGAGTGCCTGTCAACTGGGAGGGTACTTACTGGTGGAAATCTCATCTTTTCTGCACCAACCTCAGCAGGTTTGTTTTAATTAATGTAGTAATTAATTTGTATGTACCGTGTCATTGATGCATTCACAATATTTTTTCATAAAGGTAGGTCTGTACAAATGCTGTGAACTGTGATTTAAAAAAAATATGTATGATCTTCAATTATGAAATATGTTACTGAATGCAATACAAACATTGAGTGAAAGTAATTTTTAAAAATGTTATTTAAAGGTCATTTGGAACCTATACACTTGCATCAAACAAAATTTATTTGTTGAGCTGACAGACAGCAGCAGTGGCAAAATGAAATTCTTGACAAATAGGATTACATGTGGTAATCTTCTATACTTTGTAGCAAAAAGTTCATTAGTGGCAGCAGTATTTAAAAAAAGGTCAATGTATTTGCTCAAATCTGGTCTTGTTTTGATCTCTGCTATCCCATGCCAATGATATTTAAATGAGGTAGAGTAAGGTAGATGGAAGGAGAAGGTTGGGGGACTTTCAGTGTGTTGGAGACATAGGCAGACATTACCATTGAAAGGGAATGGGATCTCTTTCATCTGTCTTTGACTAGTACTTGAGTATATTTTTAGACTCTCCCAGACTGTGGGAGAGGTATGACAGTTATTATCCCCCTTTGATTTGAAGGTTGAATTAAAGCATCAAATGCTTTAGTTGTTCCTTTTGCTAATCTGTTTCATCCCCAGGTTTGAGCAGATATAATATGTTTGGTAAATTTAATAATTTTGCCTGAATGTAAAGCTGCCACTCTTGTATGAGGAAGAGGTCCTGCCTTTGCCTTTGAATATTTTAATTTTTAGACTCCCATCAGAGACTATCAGACGTTGTCTGAAACCATATCACAGTTCTTTGTAATAATCTCTGCTTTCAAGAATTATCAATCTCACTGTGAGTAGCACTAAGTGAGAAATTGCATAACATGCTTCAGCCTGAACTAGCAGGTTATACTTTTAAAGAGAGTGAAGTGAAAGTTTCAGGATATTTTTGCACAAATTTCAACCACCTGAAAAAAAAGCATTTAGAGTTGAAATCAAGGACACATTTTCAATTGAGTCCTTAAATTGTTCCCTGGTGGGAATATCCGAATGCTTCAAGAACGTCAACATAAAATTATGTTGATGCCAGGTTCAAAGGGTTAAAGTAGGCAAGAAGAAAGCATGAGATTGGGTGTTCATGCAGCAAAGGGTCTGGGCTTTATTTGAGTCATGATCTAGCAGTTGGGACAGCCTAATGATATTCTAATAATTTTTTAACTCCTCTCATGCTTTGGCATAGCATCTGGGATGCAAATATGAAGATAATAAGTTTACTGCTTCCTTTGAAACAGGAAAAACTTTAGTGGCAGAGATACTAATGCTGAAGTGTGTCTTGGAGTCAAAAAGGAAAGCCATCATGGTGCTTCCATTCATATCCGTAGCAAAGGAAAAGATGTACTATCTGCAGGTGAGTGGGCTCTGGAATACACTATGAACTTTGGTCAGAGTTAATTTCATGTATATTGTGCAGGTCATTTAAGAATTGGGGTAGAACAGGGTAAGTTGGCCCCAAAAATGATTTTGATTTCTTTGCAAGCTTCTGCTTCCCGTGAATATTCATTGACATTTTTGTTTTTTTTTTGTTCCACTGTGCCACAAAAAAAATGGGGGAGGGAATATTTTGGGAAATATCTCTGTCCTATTTCATGTGTGCCTCATGTTTTTCTGGACATGATATTTCAGATAAATAAGAAATATTTCTGCCTTGTTTAAAAAAGTCTCATGCAGTGATTCTAATGGAATCATTTTTTTTTTAAAGTTTAAGTATTAAAAATTGTAGTGAAAAACTGATCTAGCCACTGCTTCTCACCTGGCACATCACTTCTGGGTATTCCAACATACATGCAGGCAGTTTCATTGAGGAAACTGGATCTTGGTACTTCTTACCTTGTATTTTCAGGTATTTTGTGGTTGGGTTGGATTTTAAATATTCAATATTCATAGTTCTCCAAATGCCTAAGACTTAACTCTTCAAACTTGCCTATTTTTGTACTGTCACGAATCACAATATTCAAAATTACAAGAACATCATGGGATTCAGTGAAGAGGATAAGCAGCTGTTATCTTAGGCCTGCAAGAGATGAAGTGGTACAGCTCACACAGCTCTTGGCTCATGAAGGTATTCTCTGGAGAAAAGGTCTTGAAAGGTTTTTGAAAAATTTTCATGAAACTGAGTAAACTGACAGAAATTGTAGAAGCAATGAGCTGCATACAACCTAAACTGCATTGAGACTGTGGAAGAATTAATCCTTGGTGAAGAAAGGGAACCTCAAAATCATTCAACAATGTGAACATGAAGAAATGAAAATGATTGAAACTAATTTTATTGCTGAGACTGCTTGCTGCCTGCTAGGTCATTTTGGAGAGCACCCAAGTGAAGCACCAGAAAAGAAGCAGTGTGCAGACTGCTTGTTCACTGTGATTTTTGGTACTTCATCTTTGGAAAGTTATTGCAATCAAAGCATGGTGAAATACTTTTGCATGTGACAGGAATCTTTCTTATTCACCTGAATTGTTGTGCAAAAAGGCATGAGCCTTGCACAATATCAGATGGTGACATTTAATCGAATAAACTAACTCCCTTTTTTTAGGTGCAGTGTAGTTATGTTCTCTGCACATCATGTAAACATTTGTCTGCCTCACAAAGTCTATAATGATATTTTTTTTTAAGAATTATTTTAGATGAGTGTAGGGGTGCACAATGGGGTGAGTGCTGAGCCTTGAAAAAGATGTCTTGACTTGCTCTCTTTTAAAATCATTCAGTTACAGACTTAGTCATAATGTTTTTAAGGTACTCATGTCCATGGGTGGAACGTTTATTGGAAAAAATAAAAATAAAAAATAAATTGAGATCCTCTTCTATGTTGCTTATTGATTAACTACCATGCCCAGCACTTTTATCAGTTTTTGTTTGAAGTTGTTTATTTGTTAATTGTCTCTGTAAGAAAGTGATATAGAAAACAAAACTGAAGGAGTATAGGGAAATATGGGGGTCTCCTCTCTATGAAAAGTTGGGGGGAGTCAATTTCCATTTTGTAGGTGCCAAATCAATGTAGGGTTGTCAGGATGGCTGTTTTTATATATCTGCCAGAACTATCAATGGTGCATCATTGTATTAGGACATAATTTACCGCCCCTGAATGCTATGATTGAGGGCTTCATTATCTCTTGTTGCAATTGGGCAGGTTTGCCTATTGTTTCTAGTCATTTTTGATTGGGGGGGGGGGGGGGAGGAAGTTGCCCTAAGCAAGAGGGGAAACAGGGATGGACCATCATGAAGGCTTATAAAATCATCTATGATTGCAACTATGAATAGTAACATTGCATACATCAATGCATTGTGACAGCCCTAAGTAAGAGCCCTTAACTACTCTCATGAGTTTATAGAATCTTGCTTTCTCATTCATACATCTGAAATGACAGGACCAAGATACATCCAGAGGTGGAAGAATAGCAACTCTGTAACTGTGTAGGTTTGGCCTTATTGGAGATTTTCAGCGGATTTATTTTTCTTGATCCAATGGTGCAATCATTATAATTGAAGGGCACTTCCAAGTAATGAACTTTCAGAGCAAGACAAAATTCAGGCATATACTTCAGGTGTCTGGAAAGTAATGAGACACATTTGTAAATTTGTAACTCTACAAACAGTGCACTTCTCACTGCTCAGGTATTAAGATCAATATGTAATCTCTGTGATTGCCAATTGAAAGTCAATCCATTGAGAAGTGCTTACAGAGAGTGCCTCAAAAGACAGCTCTGTAAGCTCAATACAATGCAAGCTGTTTTTGACAATTTGGAAATGGCTACAAATGCTGAGAACTTTCACTTCAATGTGTTCATGTGGTTCAAACATGGCATTGTGGCCACTGCCTGTTACACAGAACTGTTCCCTGTGTATGTCAAGTCTACTGTCTTTTGGTGGTTCAGCAGCTTCAGAGAAGCAGCTGAAAAGGAGGAGCCTTCCTTTCTTGACCAGCTCCACAGTAGCCATCCAAGGTCCACCCAGAGACCAGAGCTTGTCAAGATGGTGCAAAAGCTGGTGGATGAAGACTGCCAAGTGACTACTTGAGAACTGGATGAGGGGCTCAACGTCGGCAAGAGCAGTACCCACGAAGTGCTCACACAAGACCTGCAACTGTGCAACATGGCATCAGTTTGGATGCCACACCAACTGACCAAGGACAACAAAGCAGCTCATAACAATGGTGCCAAGCACATCTGGGAATTTTTTTCCAACAAAGGCATGGAGACTTTCTGCAACAAGCTCAACAAGGCCTTTTTGCAGCAAGCTCATTCCGTGCAACAAGCAGCAGCCGCAATGCCAAGTTTTAACTATGTGTATGTGTTGAAGCAAAAGTTCTCAGTGCTTGTAACCATTTCCAAATTGTTAAAAATAGCCTCTGTTGCACTGAGCTTATAGAGCTGTCTTTTGAGGTCTGCTCTGTAAGCACTTCTCAATGGATTGACTTAAAAATCGGCAATCACAGAGATTACATATTGATCTAAATGCCTGAGCAGTGGGAAGTGCATTACTTGGAGAATTACAAATTTAAAAACGATTCTCATTACTTTCTGGAAACCCATAGTAGTTCAAGTAGGGTTCACTTACCCTAGCTTACCCTACATTAAAGCATGTTTCCTTCTGCCAGACTCTGTTTCGTGATGCAGGAGTTTGTGTTGAAGGCTATATGGGCAATCATTCACCTCCAGGGGGTTTCCAGAAAGTTGACATAGCCATATGCACCATAGAAAAGGCCAACAATCTCATTAACAGGCAAGTCACTAACAGAAACCTCCATTGCAATTGTCAAGGCAAAAAATATATCTACTGATGAATGTTCTCAAAGTCAACCAGTGGTGAAAGTAGAACTTTATGTGAAATATCTTGAACTAGTCAAATTTAATCATTCAGATTAAGCCAAAAAGTGAGTTCAGTAGATATCCATGCCAAAGATGAATTAATTAGGAATTCATTGATACCTTGGGGTTATGAATCTCACTTCATCATCCTCAATGAACCCTACAGGTTGATTGAAGATAGAAGGTTGGAAGATCTTGGAATCCTGGTTGTGGATGAACTCCACCTTTTGGGAGACAGCCATAGGGGTTATTTGTTGGAACTTCTCCTCACAAAGGTTCAGTATATGTCCACAAAGTGCCAGAGGTACAATAAAATATTTCTCTCTTGCTATCACAAAAGGTTACTGACATGCCTATGAAATTTCCATTTCTTTTGCATGAATACCAGTGAGGAGAAGCATCAAGTAGGAGTCCAGATTGTAGGAATGTCAGCTACATTGCCAAATCTGGATATCTTGGCTAGCTGGATCTCAGCAGATCTCTACAAAACGGATTTCCGGCCTGTTCCATTGACTGAGATCATCAAGATTGGGAGTGGCCTGTATGATAAGAACCTTTGCAAAGTGGCAGAGCTTTCTGTCACTATGGCTATCAAGGTGAAGCAGAACTTTGTTTCATTCTTCTCTCTACAGGATTATCCAGGGTCTAGATTGCAGTATTTTCTAATTGATTTTACCTTGCAGACCTCTCAGAACAGTGAGGACCTTCTCCTTCACAGTTGCTTGCATTTTTAAACTACTTATATCTGGAAAAAAAAATTCAGTAAGAGAAAGATGTGATAGGCACACCATTGTGAACTTTAGTTTTTTTTTTTTTAGCCCAAATTAATGTATTGATGTAAAGCTTTTTGCCTGATTTTATTCTGATTTATTTCTATATTACTTATTTACATTCCTCTTGAGGAGCTGCTCCTTATTTTTTTCATATGCTTTCCTTACTTATTGGACAGAATGATCAAGATCATCTGGTCCAGCTGTGTTTGGAAACAGTTGCTGCAGGCCATTCAGTGCTGGTCTTTTGTCCAACCAAGGCATGGTGTGAAAATCTGGCAGACAATGTGTCCAAGGAGTTCTACAGCCTTGGTAAGTGTCAGCACTGAAGTACATCAATATGATTTGCCTGAAGAATATCCCATAAGGCCTTTACATAATCCTCAAGACAATGCAGGACAACAGAATATTTTCTCAACCTTAGGTGAATCTACTGACAGGTCATCTGAAGTGAAAGAAACCTGTTCCTCATTTGTAATATTTTCCATATTCGCTATGATTGGGCAAGATACTTTCTTGCTGACTTTTCTTGATCCTTACATTCCAATAATACTTGAAGGATAAACATTGCCCATCTCCTTTCATGTCATCTACACATTTCTTCCCATGCTATCATGGGAATTGTATTGTGACTGGACCTATATACAGGGTGGGCCAAAAAAAAGTTCAGTCTTTTTCATTTTGCTATAACATTTTCACTAATTAAGTCATGTGCTTATAACCTGTACCATGTTTAGAATGGCTAAGCTACAATCAAATGCACTTTTTATTTTGAAAGTCAGTTAAGAAGTATTTGCAGAGATGATTTTATGGTGAGAGGTGGAAAACCACTGCTACACGACAAACCTACAGATATCATTATGAACAGTCTGAATGACTCTGTTTGTTCAGCAGACAGTTTGGAGGAGAGAGGCTCTTGCAGCCTAAATCTACATCCCAAATCTGTGGCCTTATTATTTTAGCTGTTGTTTGGAGTTCTTTCTTTTTCAACTGCCTATTATTTTTCCAGGGAATGGTTTGTATACAGTGCTGGCCTCCACATACATGCATATGGATGAGTGGAAGAAACCTCAGTTCGTGGAGTGGGGATTTTTTACCTCTTGTAAAATTGTCACTGTGCAAAAACTTATGAACCAATTCCTATAAAATGAAGTTTGTTTGATTGTAGCCCAAGCATTCTAAGCAATGGCATAAATTGCATGCACCTATCTCAATTAGTGAAAATGTGACAGCTAAATTTAAAATGTGGAACTTTTTTTTGGCCCACCCTGTATATTCTCATCACAGGAGTGGTGTGTGTGTATAAAAGAGAATGTATTCCATTTAACACAGGGGTTCTCAAACCCTGGGTTTGAATGTTGAATTTTGAGTCATGACCAAAAACGTTTGGGAACCACTGGTTTAACACATTGACTGCCAAGCCCTTCTAAGGAAAGTGCTCACACCAGGCCAGAAGGATGTCCCTGCATCGAGTGGATTTTGAACTTTGGCATTTTAATACACCGTGACACTGAGGAAAAAAGCTTGTGACAAAAAAATTGTCGGCTATAATGGATTGACATTGTCTGACCACATAATGTTTCAGTTGTAGTCATGTAAACCACCGATAGGTGACACAGCTATGAACCCACTCATTTTGTCTATTCCTATTATCAGTTGAATAAAAATGTCCATTCAAATTCTTGACCAAGAGGACATGACATATTCATTGCTTATTCCTTCGTGGAAGTGGTGTCTTCAGAAAATGATGACTTTGATAGCAAAACTACATTTGCACCACCTCTTGGTCATAGTGATTCTAATAATTGACAGAGTTTGTGATGTGACGGAATTGTTGATGAGGACAATCAGCAAGTTGATTAAGACAATCAATAATTGAGAAGCAAGTAATCATGGTGGGACTGGATATTCAGGAGCAAGCATCATGTGATCTATATTTCAAGGTCACCAGAAGTTTTCTCCTTCACAGACACCTATGGCCCCAGTAGCACAAAACATTGAATCAACATCTATTGAATGCTGACTCAACATCAGGGTGTTGGTGCAATGCTTCTTCTATGTTGATTCAGTGCTATATGCTAAGGGGAGGTTTGATTGTTGATCATGATATATTCAATCCAGTTGAAGCTTATGGTCTTCTCAATCATGAAGTCCTAAATCTCAATATGAGAGATATTAATTGCCTTGCCAAGAAAATCATTATATGTAACACTGTTACACTGTAATCTCTTTGAATGGGACCCATACTGACTGGACTCATCTCAAGAAGTTCTCAAACTTGCTAACTTGAATGGATCTTGCATGGGACAGGTTAGAACTACTCCTTTGTATGGTGCATTTCTATGACAATAGTAATGTTGAAAAAGGTGATTGCATTGCCAAGATTTGACTTCTACTTGATGCTCCTGGGGATAATTACCAAGAGACCTGATCAGATGATCGTCATTACTGAATCAATGCTACCGTGACCTGGTAGTCTGTCATTTTGTCAGTATATGCCATCAAAATGTCAAAACTATGACATAAAACTCTTCAACCTTTGCATTGATGATTGATTCACTTGAGAATAATCATCTGTTATGGAAAACAAGATGATAGGATTCATGGCTTGTCACTAATGGAACAAACAGAAGGTCATGGTTTCTCCCACCCACCCATCAGTTTTGCTGAAAAATATTTGGAAGGAAAGAAATAGACCAAAATCGGCAAAAAGAAAGCATGTCATTTGTATCATTCATGTCTGAAGGAAGAATTGGAACATGAACAAGCCAGGAAGAAGATAAAGTAATATACTGTGTAGTTTGTCTGGAACAACCCACCAATGTGCACATAATGCTTGACACACCACCTTCCTTACCAATCAAGTTCATTTTTCTAAGAATATAGTACATCAATGCTCCATAGAGGTCAATATCATGTTGCTTATTATTCACTTGAGGCCAAGCCTTGAAATTGCTAAGCAAAATGCATACAGGCATTCACCAAAACAGGTTGAAGTATCTAAGCATTGAGTGTCAACCACCAGTGGCTGACATGGCCTGGGAAGAACTTCTTAATGTCAGCCATGGGTGGCTGACATGGCAGTCAATGTGTTAAATGATATTGGTCAACAAGTACAACAGTGTGGATCCATTGATTTGGTCCTTGCAGCTTGAAATATGGCATTTGAATTTCAGCACCCCTGAAAGAGGAAGCCTAAGCTTGTGCATGAAACTTTCACATTTTCACCATGTTGCACAGGAAAAAAAGGTATTCACATTAAGGTATGATTGCTATGTTGACCTGAAGGGTGAGTGAGTGTCATGCTAGAGTGTGAGGGATAACAGTCTTGCTTGTACTTGTGAACAATGCTACTTTCAATGGAGATGCTTGAGCTAATATTCCTATGAGATATGTAAAGTGTGTTTAAAATATCAACCTGTTGGTTGCCACTTTACAAGTCACTTCAATGAGCAACAAAATGCAAAGGGAAAGGGCACAAATGTTTCTTGCAGTACTGAAGTCTTTACTACATATAGCATTTGATGTGAACTGAGTGCTACCACTTCTAATACCAATTTTCTTTTATATTCTCTCTTAAAATTCTATTGATTCTATTATGGGGGCAATATACATCGAAATGACAACCCAATTTCTCTAATCAAAAGTATTATACATTTCCACACTAATTGCACATTTTATATACCATTAGAAAGTTTGTGATGAGTACTAACTGAATATAAAAAAATGAGTTATGAAAATTTTCATATAATGACCTAATGGGAAGGGGTCAAAGGTCAAAAATAAAAAAATTGGCTATGCTCACATGATTAAAAATCCCCCACCAGGTTTTTCCTATCCCTATTGATGCTATCTTTTTGAAACCTTCAGGATACATTACTGTTGGAATGATATACAAACCTATGTTGTTACCTTTGGAATATATTCACTTATGTTGCCATGGCAACTGTTTCATACTTTTACCACCTCCACTTTGCTGGTAAAAAGTTTTTGGCAATATCTCTGGAAATAAACTTCCCATTGACATCAATAGGATGAGGCATTATGAAGAAAACTATAGGGGGCATATGTGGACAAAACAAAAGACATGAAACTGAGAAAATCAGCATTTACTATAGACTACTGACAATATTCACCGTAAGTTCTCTTACAATCTTTTTTTTTTTTTCATTTTTACCCAATGAGACTGATTATAAGAAAATGGCCTTTGGATCTGATAATTGACATATACAGGAAGCTAAAAATGTAAACATCTCAAAAATGATTATTTTTTGCTAAATTGATGTATTAATATATTGCCCCCTTAAGTCTGACAGTTATGCAATTTTGACATTTTCAGAAGGGCAATCAATTACATTTCTTCCAGGCAGAAGAATGATTATTGAAGGATATTTTCTGTTGCACCAGAGAGCTCAGACTCTCAACCAAAGGTGGATGTTTCTAAATATTCATTCTTCTATTTGAAAAATGGGCATCTTCCTACCCTCCTGAAAATGTTAAAAATGGCTTCTTTCCTCACATATCTGACAAACATTTTGTCTGACTTACTATAACATGATGAGTCAATCTTTGTTTTATGGTGACAATTTTATGGTGGGAGGTGAAAAATCGCCACTGCTCAAACCATTTGGATGTTAAAATGGGGAGCTTCCTTTATGAGCAGTGCCCTGACTTCATCATAACTGAAAATGACCTCCAAACAGCCTTGACTGTGGATTATAACATGAGGTTCATTATAGGAGATAGTGTATTGCACAAAAATCCAGAATATCCTGTGTGCAAATCATCACTTACTGGGACAACTTGAGTCAGTCAATGATCAATGGGGCAATCTGGCAGTGGTGAAACCAGTTGATTGCTGTGGTAAAAGAAACATTGAAAAATAGAAAAACATATTGAACATCACTTTCACTAATACAACCTTTTTTAGCAGGGTGTTATTACTTTGCTCTTTTCAACTGTACCTTTCCATTGATTTTCTTTAAGTGTACCTTTTCAATGACTTTCATGAAAACAGGGGCTGAATGAAAATGAGATAAACTGAATGGAGACCCCTCGATTGTGCAACAACAGTTTTTTACCTCACTGTAAAGTCATCACTGCACAAAAACTTCTAAACTGGTTTTCATGAAACTGGTGCATTTGATTAAAGTCTAGTGATGCTAAACAATGGCATAATTGTAGCCACTTAACTCATTTTGTGAAAATGTAACAGTGGAATTAAAAAGGTGGAACTTTTTTGGCCCACCCTGTAGAACCCTAACACCCAACTTCTGGGTGATTTTCTGAAGGGGATATGCAACTTCTGTGACCTCATGACTTAGTGACATTTAATTTCTTTATTGATGTGGTGTCTCCACTGACTTGATTTTTTAGGGAAAGATCCAGATGGATATGCAGGCAAGTCAGAGAAGTTGAGAAAATCTGGATATGCTCTGCGTCAGAATCTGAGTGGGGAAAAACTACGAGAAATTTTAGAGGCCCTCAAGAAAACACCTGCTGGTTTGGATTCCATTCTTGGCAAGACAGTGCCATTTGGCATAGCATTCCATCATGCAGGTGGGACAATATCATGTTGCCAGCAAACTGATTTGAGACACAATAGGTCAAACTAAGGTTGACTTTACTATTATCAGGTCTGACATTTGACGAGAGGGACATTGTAGAGGGTGCTTTTCGACAAAATGTGATCAAGGTTCTGGTTGCAACATCTACTCTCAGCTCAGGAGTGAACCTTCCTGCCAGAAGAGTGATTGTCAGATCACCAATCTTCCATGGGAAACTCATTGATACACTTTCATACCAACAGATGATTGGGCGAGCTGGTCGAAAGGGTGTAGATACCCAAGGTGACACATTTTATTCTGGAAAGTATAGTACAGCAACACAACAGTACAAATTTTTCTCTTTTTAAAACTTTCATACATTTTTAATATTTTAATTTGACATCATTTTTACCACTGGAATAATTGTATCTGAAGATTGGGATCTTTTCAACCTTTTCGTAACCAATTGAAGGGGTCACCAGGCTCACCTTATCTCTTAACCAATCAAATGTTGCTTCCAGTCCTATGAAGTTGACCTTAATACTTTCCTGAGACCTGGACAATGTGTCAACTATGGCAGAGAGCCTTGGGAGAAAATTTTTTTTTAAGCAATGAAATTTCCTAATCTTTGGCCTTGCAAAATTTTGTTGCTACTTTATATCATCCTAAACCTAGTATAGAAGAATAAACCTAATATAACATGACAAGTATGCTAAGGGCAGTTCTGATTGACAATTTGTGATACTTACAGGAGAAAGCATCCTGGTTTGTAGAGATAATGAAGCAACGAAAGCTGCATTCCTGATGAATGCATCCCTTGAGCCTGTTACCAGCTCCTTAGGGCAGGAAGGACAAAGCCTCACTTCAAGCCTAAAGCGAGCAATCCTTGAGGTCTGTCAAGGTATTTCTTACACCAAAGCTGTGAATGTATAAGAAAGAATTTCAATATTTATAGGAGGTGACTCCTGAGATTAACGAGCTTAAGATACAATGTTTTATTATTGGGAAGCCACATAACTGAAGTTCTCTTGCAGCAGCATCTGTTATAATGTGAGAAAAGTTGCAGTAATGGTAGTGCATCACTAGATTCTACAGTCGTGTCAAAAAGTGTGCTGATCGTGGCTACATTCCAAAGTAATATAACGTATGCTCCTTTCCTTGGCTACTACACCATCTAGAGTGGTTTCAGAATGACCTTTCCCCCTTTATATGGGCTCCTTAATTTTTCCTGGGTCTCATCAGGTTGTGAAGTATTAACTTTCTTGTTCTAGCCATTTGCCACCTCATGCATTTGAAATGTTAGTACACTCTTATACTTTTTGTGATACTCATACTTACTACAGTATGTGTCTCAAGTGCCCTCAGCAATGGTGCCAGGGATGGGAAGAAGCTGGAATGTCAATCTGAAAACATTATGCAATACAAAATATATTAACTTAAGCTTGCTACTATCTCTGTGAAGGTGATAGTGAGTGGAGCTGCCACAACACCTGCTGATGTCCAGCGCTATGCCAGTTGTACTCTGTTGGTTGCACAGCTGACAAAAAATTACTCTTCCTCATCCAAAGCCCCACCTATTGCATCTTGCATTCAATTTCTGGAAGATAATGAGTTTATCAGGTAGGTTTGTCCTTTGTGTGAAGGAAATTGATTCCATGAATCAATTGTAAGAAGATGCATCTTTTTCTTCTCCATGTACAGATTCCAGGAGCTTCGTGGTACTGAAAATGGTCAATTGTCAGCATCCCGCTATGTAGCAACTCCACTTGGTCAGGCTGTTTTAGCTGCTTCCCTTTCCCCTGATGAGGGACTGCAACTTATGGAGGAACTCCAGCGAGCCATGAAAAACTTAGTTCTTGAGAATGAGCTCCATCTCCTCTACCAGGTCCAAGTCAATCTCAGCTTGACAATCAATCAATATTTCATATATCATATCAAAATAGATTTATTCAAGCCATAAGACTCATTGCCAAAAAAAATCATCACCAAGGAGTTGAGCTATCTTGATGAAAATTTGGTGCATAAGGCCTTAGCAGTGCGTTATGAAATCAGTCAATTTCAAGGCATATGATGGATATTCACAGATAAACTTGCCAAACACTCTAATTTATGGGGGGGGGGGGGGGGGCACAGTGATCGTAATAATCATCCAAAACATAAACCAAGAAGGAGTTTATTAATAAAATGTTAAATTGAAACTTCTCATGATGTGTTCTAGGTAAATCTAGGTAAGTTTCATTTTCATAGGATGAGGTGATGCATAGAGAATTTGTCAAATGTCTAAGGAATGGGGGAAGAGGACAGTACTGTTTTGAGTGCCTTTTTTTTTTCCTTTTTTTTCCCCCATAACCTCTTTGCTGCTGGGCAATTGTTAAGCATGAGGTGAAGCCACACCTAGACACAGTCTCTGAAAGCAATGTCACAAACTTGTCCTATTGTTCTATTGACTTTATTCATTAATTGTGATTCTGAGCTTGCTTCAAGCTGATGCATGCAATCCAAATAGTTCACACAATGAATATCAGTTCCACCTTGATATTCATATTTTATAACCTTCTGTAGAGGTGTCTTTGGGACATTGTCATTTGGGCAGTAAAATTGTCATGAAAATGAAAAGAGTTGAGGAATGGAAGAAATCTCTTGGTGATGTCATCCTTTCAGCACATGGTGTTCTGAGTCTAGATTTTGAGAGAGTGATTAAGTAATATGCATAGGAAATGCCATAGATTACTTTTACCTCTTGTTTTTGCACTCTTCCTTCTCATAAATCTGCTAAATGGACCAACATTCTTGGATTAAGGAACAGAAACTACTCCCCGATTGTACCCATGGCCTCTCAAGTGTCTGATCTGGGTATGTAATGATTGGTATTGCTAGGTGTACTGCTTCATCCAAGTGAGCCCAATCAACTGCCCAAGTTCAGCCTATGGACAAGTGGAATAATCCAGAATCAAATTTGAAAGATTTGTGAAAATCTTTCATGATAAGTCAAAAGTCAAGTCATTCCTCAATTTACCACTGACTTCATGAACATCCAATCTAGAAGCTCAATATTTCTTGATTAGGCAAGAAGTGGCTGCTGGATGTTATGAAGTAAGTGGAACATACATAAAGCTTATATGCTGAGACTTCAATGTGATTAACTCTGCCAGTGGCGTAGGCAGGAAATCGGCAAGGTAGACACCCAGGTAGGTTGAGGCCAGGTAGACGCCCAACCCTACGCCTAGCTCCACTACCTGAAATTTACCATTTCAAAGAAATCATGGTCTTGCATCTTGGATCTATGGACTGACATTAGACTTTCCTCGAAGGAAATTTATTTAAAATTTATTCCAATTTTTTTATTCCAATATTTAAAATTGGAATTCCCAAGGAAGTTGAAATATGCCTGTCAGTGTCACTGACCGGGAAGCCCAAGGGGGGGGTTCTAACCCCCTAAACCCCCCCCCCTTCCCTATGCCACTGAACTCTGCTCATCCAATGGAAATATTGAAGTTGACTTGATCAGAGTGAATTTTTAATCCTGCAGGAAATATTTATAGTGCTTAATTTGGTATAATAATCTTACATGAAGAAAATACTGACCCAGACAATTTATGATGATCCTTGCAGGTGCATTTTTTATTAAATGTTTACAAGTATGGAATCACTATACTACAGTCCAGGCACTACTTGCCACTTCCAGAGAATCCTAGCCAATAAAATACAGGGTGATTCAAAATAATGTATACACACTTTGAATCACTCTGTACCATTGATGGTAAATGTCATAACAACTAATGATGGTGCATTTGCTAACATACAACATTACTTAAAGTTTTTATTATTAAAAAGTTGCATAAAATATCCTCAACATTATGAATGTACTGTTGAATTTTGAACAAAGGAAGAACATATTAAAGTGGTACTACAAGTATGAGAATGTAAAGGAAGTACAGCATGTCTTGATGCTGTACTGATGATGAGAGTATGGAACAGCAGCTGCCACAAGTGATACAACTCGTCATATACGTGATACATTTGAAGAACATGGAACTGTCCAAAATGCAATTAAAATCCAGTGTGGAAGAAAACAAACAGTACAAAGTCAAGAAAATGTGGAAACTAATAACCATGTACCAGCATTCTAAATCTTTAAAAAGTTTTGAACATTTGACATAAGATGACTATTGTATGTTGTTTTCACATATTCACTTGTGTACATAGCAATGTTTTGTTTATTCAGTACAATAAGTATTGAAGATACATAGTTTCAAAATGTGTATACATAATTTTGAATCACCCTGTATATTACCAAATATATGTTTGATGGAAATGGAATAATAGAATAAGGTTGGGCTTTGTGGATTTGTTGTTGGCATTGGTCACTTTGGGGAATTGAAAAGAAATGCCTTAAAGGCATTTCTAATGCCCTATCATGACTGAAATTATATTTGGTATCTTCAATGATTAAAAATCAAAAAGGCATTTGATTTTGCTCCATATTTTTCAGCAAGGTTGCCAATAACTTTCAACTCTGTCGTCATCTCCTATTATCCAATCCATTGAGCTGAAAGAACTTACAATTTCTTGATGTCCTTTGCTTTTCTGCTGCAACACAGCAGGCAAGGTAAATTTTACTCTTAATCTTTCCTTTTATTCTTTATTCTCTGCTGATCTCCATCCAGGATTGGAAATAAATGCTCTAGATGCAAAATCGTTTCTCTATGCAGGTAATTTAATTACCTGTTTTTCCAAGAGGTATGGCATCCAGATTGCAGTAAATGCAGGGAAGTCCAAGATTATCAAATTCCATGAAGGATGATTGGGAAAAGTATGTATATGGGGTGCAGAGAAAAAGAAAGCTGCTGTTCAAATGTTTATATCAGTAAAATGGTTATTGCTACAGCTGTGTGTTAAAGGATGCATGCACTTCTCATACATCAATAAAATTTTCAAAAATTTCTCCAATCAGGTTTAATTTTGAAATCCCCACAGCTGTTGAGTATCTTCCCAGAAGAAGGAAGACAGTATGCCTGATTGCTTTTGCACCAACTTGTCTGTTGCAATAATGGTGTTGCCTATTATCAATTGTGATCATGGTGTTATATAAGGTAGACAGAGTGGGATTGAAGCATATTTTCTCAGGCAAAAGTGTGCAATGACTTCATTCAGAGAGTGATTCTTCATTGGTAACGACAGCTCAAAGATGTAATCTAAGTGCAATGATGACCCATAGTGCTTCAATTTCAGTGACCCACAGAATTTCCAAAAATCTTACTTTTGAACTTAAAAGTGCTTGTGTGACTAAACTAACAACTATAAAATTATGAGAGAAATTAACTTTGAGACAAGCTGTGGAGGTATACCTATTGGAAAGTACACAGCCATAGCTTTGATCAATTCTCAGATATATGCATTTAAATAGTAGTGTGCTTTTTCTTTTTGCACCTGGTATTTATGATGTAAGCAGCCCTTATGTCATAAACTGATGTGAATATCATGGTAATAATAACCATTTAACTTATTTTCATTTGTGGTGCACAGCAAGAAGTTAAACTAAAGGCCAAAGCTGTCATCAGTTCCATTAGACACCTCATGATGATCATCATCCTAATCAGTTGGAATCTTCAACATGAAAGTGAGGCCAATTTTCTTGTATAGCCTCATTGCAAAAGAAATTGCAAATAATCATACTGCAAAATGGCATAGATCATCTACTGTGTAGATCAAGATCCTTTCTTGGTCCACAAGATTATTATTCATGTAAGAGTGTCATATGGTCAATGTTGACAAATATCATACCCTCTCCTGCCCAACTCTTGGAGTCAGCTTCTGACAGGAAATGATTTATTCATATTCTCTCATTTTCTCTCTTTCCTTTCCATCCTATCACTCCCTTCTCTCTCTGTTAATATCTGAGAGTTTAGCCCTTTCTGCATCATCCCAAGTACATATTTGTCCTAACATCTGTGCTTAGGAATTGTTTTTTTCTTGAAGTGTGCATTTTAAGTGAAATCTTTTAGTGGAAAACTTAGTTCTTGAACTGCCTATGCTTTAGGATGTGGTTAAATGTTATTTCCTTCCTAATACTATTGTAACATTCGTTTTTCATCATGCTTGTAAGTGGCATGCATGGTGTCTTGAGAATGAGAACATATATGTTTGAGATTTGTTCAGTTTCTAGTGTCACGTAGTAAGAGTGTTATTAGTAATGTTGCTGGAGGACAGTTTGATGTTGTTAGTGATCAGTCCTCTGATTGTGAGAGCCATGAGTCATGTTGATCAGAATCCCTCGGGAAGTGCTCAAAACAATTAACATACTAGGCCAGTGGTTCCCAAATGTAATGTGTGTGCCAATGGGGGTACGCAAAAGGTTTCTAAACATACTTTTTTATTATTGTGCAGTAAAGTGCTAGTCTTATGTACTCTGTGGGATTGGCATGTGGGACAAGTGGTGGCATGCTATACATGCACCCTGAAGGCAAGAAGTCCTAAGTTTCAGGGTCGCTGTACTAGACGACACATCCAGAATTCTGAATTTGTACTTGATAGCAGCCCACCAAATCTGCAAATATAAAAAAATGGCCCATGTTACCACTCTACACATCACCTAGCTAAATGGGCAGTCTTCTGTAAAAGTTTTGTCTATTCATTTTTGCTTGTTTAAGTTCTTAAGTGATTTTAGTGCTGTTAATACTTGTAGCTAATTTTCTCAAAACATTTGGACACCTTGGGGAGGTCTAGTGCATCTGTGCTGGATGCCAAAAGGGTTAGACTTGGCAAGTTCTGTCAGATTGTTTCTCAAATATCAAGACTTTTTTGGCTTTTATCATACTCCCTTTCCCCTGTCTTCAGAAGTTACCCCTTCATGATCTTATGGAAAGACATTAAATGGGTGAAAAATTATCTTGTTGATCCTTTGTCAGAGAAGGAGACATATATAGTCACAAAAAGTGGTATAAGAATGTAATTTTGCTAGGGTCATAAATGATAAGGCATTGACATATTATATGCTTCTGACCTTGTTTGACTTCATCAAGTTATCTATTGATTGCAAGTTTGAAAATTGTTACAGGAAACATCTTTGACACTTTGGCTGCCATGTGTATCACCAGTGACACATTTTGCATATGAGATACTGTTCAGCAAACAACGTGTTAAATACTCTCCAAACACTAAATACTCTCAAAGTTAAATGCTTCCACTCTCCCTGTGAAAACCTTAGACAGTTGAAAAGAATATTGGAAACTGATCATATATTTGCTCCTTTGTGTATATTGTGCTGATTTAGAATGCCTCAGATGACAGATCTTTTTGAAGAAAAATGCAATACTTGAGGAGGGAAAATTTAGGCAGAGTATCTCTCAGTGAAAAGCTTCTCGAAAGTGGTGTGCATTTTTTTGGTATGGTTCAAGCATAATTTTCTTAGTGCACAGCTGCCTCCATTGCATTGCTGAGTTGTGTCTTCCTGGGCAAATTTTGACAACTTATGCAAATTGTATGCAATTTCTTGACATTACAAATTGCAATGACTTGGACCTCCTAACAGGTGACACCATTTTCAGTCAGTAATCAGTGGCCAACCATGGACTGGTTGAACTATTTGACTGTTTGGGAGGCCCTTCCTGCCCAAGTCAAGAGAGTTGGGGAGCTTGTTGGTGTGGAGGAGCGCTTCCTTGTTCGTGCTATGAAAGGATCTATCAATCCTACAAACTTGAAACAAGTATGTTGAAGATTCAATCTAATGATTGACTGGCCTGATAATGTTGCTCTATTAGACCTAGCTTAATATGACCCTTCCTTCTGAGGCAAAGCAATTGAGGATCCATCAGAGGTTTTTCACAACACTGGCACTCAATGACCTTGTCAATGAAGTGAATTTAGCAGAAGTTGCAAGGAAATACTCCTGCTCTAAAGGCTTACTCCAAAGTTTGCAACAGTCAGCAGCCACTTATGCAGGTTAAATATGTCTGAATATCTAGTCACACAGCACTGTGGCTGCACAGCAATTCATTGGTTTGTATATTTTTGCATAGGCATGGTGACAGTGTTTTGCAACAAATTGGGGTGGACAAACTTGGAGCTGCTTCTCTCCCAGTTTCAAGTCCGTCTACATTTTGGGGTTGCTCGTGAGCTATGTGATCTCTTGAAGGTGTCACTTCTAAATGCCTCTCGGGCACGCTGGCTCTATGATGCTGGGATGCATTCCCTCTCTGATTTGGCAAATGCTGCTCCAGAGGATGTGGAGATGATCTTGTGCAATGCAGGACCATTTCTCAGGTCTGAAACTCCTATAATAAAAAGGACTGAGGGCTTGTAAGTCTTGCTTGTCATCAAATCACACTTTCTCATTTCCCTTTCAATGCTCAGTGAAAAGGCTGGTGAAGCAACCAAGAAGCAGGAATTGCTAGAACAAGCAGCATTAAGGACCATATGGGTGACAGGGAGACCTGGACTGACAGTGAACAGAGCAGCAAAACTTCTTGTTCAAGAAGCAAGAGATATTATTCAGGTCTCTTGCTGATGCTGGTGGCATTTTCATTAGTTATAACCAGGAATGAAAAACAAGAACTAAAATGGATTGAGAAAATTATCTGGAACTGAACTGGAAGGAAAAAAATATTGTTTTCATGTTCATTCCATTCTGTCCCAACTTGTAAAATTCTGCCATTATATAGCTACATGCTGTTGCAATAGTTAGGTATAACTGACATGGTAAAATATGCTGAACCCTGTCTATGAAACTTTTTTTTTTAACAAGAGAAGGGCTGACAAGAGCCTGTATTGTGGTCCTGCCAACCTGTGCTCCAGTCTAATAGACAATGCCAAGTTCATAGTTTAACAGAGACAACATTTGGACCAATTCCTCCTCCCTTGTGAAACTGTGTCCATAGCTTTTTTTTTCACAATGTCCTTGGCAGCACTTAGTTGACAAGTTGGACTGTAAAATGAAGAGGTAAATTCAGAATACATACTTTTTTTCTGTCCCCTCAGAAGTTATTCTCCAGCCATCCCATTGCCTGAATCAATTTCTCAGAATCATTGAATTGAACTGGAAGCATAGTTCAGTAAAATTCAAATGTCTGAATCAAGTCAAATCAGGAACAATTCTCCATAATGGAACAGTCCATAATGAACTGAAATAGAAAAGGCTTAAAACATACCAATATCCTGGTTATAACTATCACATGTATGCCTGCCAAGTTTGATAAAGGTTTTTTTTTTTATTTTCTTCCTCTGCAGAAGGAGTTAGGGATTGAAGCTGCAAAATGGCTTGAACCTTCCTCAACCACAACTGTTAAGGAACAGAAGGCTTTTTTGCCCTTGTCCAAGAAACGTCACAGTGGGGAATTACAGTCACCAGAAGTCACACTACGTAAATCCCCTCGGCTTGCAGCCCTTAGCACTCCATTGATGAATCATGAGAATCTTCCTACTGTCATTAGGAGGAAAAAAGGTTCATCTTCAGGTAAAGTGAGGAAGGGAAAAAAATCTCAGCAGCAGCACAAGCATACAAGCTCCTTGAAGCTGAACTCTAGCAGAAACTGCCCCCCAAAGTCTGATCATGTGAAGGACAATGAAAAATCAGTGGACATGTCCCATGATTTTTTTGCCCAAGAATCTGAGGAAAATGAAGCAAGGCAGAAAATATATGAGCAAAATTCTAATGAGCAGCCCAAGGAAACACCGACCTTGAACCTGAATTCCAGCCGCAATTGTCTCTTGAAACCTGACCTAAAGCAAAACAAAGGAAAATCAGTAGATGTGTCCCCAGACCTATTTTCATTGGATTCTGAACAATATGAGTTGAGACAGAAGATCTCTGAACGTCAAGATACAGGCTTTGTATCTGCAGCTCAATATCATCAAGCAAAAGCTGTGGGAATGCATTCTGTCAGCAAGAAATTAGAGGAAGTAGTTGGTGGGGCCCCTTTGGGAACTGCCCATGAGGATTGTGCAATGTTTGATGGGTCCTGGTCTGAGGTAAGCTTTGCCATTCCAGTTAGTACCATTAGGGCACCACAAAAGGCTCAGGTAGAGCAGGTTCAATTAAAGTCTCATAAGGGTGGGCGAAGGAGTGATGACCTGTTCAATTCTCAGAGTCCAGAAAGTAGTGTTTCATCCATTACATCATTAGAAACAAATAACAGAATATCTGAGAAAGCAAGCATGCCATCAGACTCCAAGGGAACTGAGTATTCCATTCAGCCTGGAAGCTGTCAGCTCCTTGAAGAAACGATAAAGAAACCTCCAGCCCACAAAGATGACACCTTAACTGATTCTTTTTTTGAGAGAGCTTTTAAGACATACCATGCCTCTATTGAAACTCCCAAGGGGATCACATGTACTATCAGCAAGAAACCAACTCGAGTAGTGGCTTCAACCCCACTTGGCTCAATGGAAGACTACATACCTGTTAAACTTATGGAATCTCCATTCCTCACACCAGGGATGGAACAGGTTCTGCATCAGTTGGAACAGCGATTTTCCACGCCTGTTGTAGATACAGTGAAAAAGAAAACCCAGAGAACCAAGAATGCAACTATGGAAAATACAGATGATGACATCATTGCATCATCTCAGCCCTCACTAATCAGTTATCAGAGATCTGACAATTTTGCCTCTCCTACAAGATCACAGAAGAGGGAAGACCAAAGGGAAGTAGATTGCTCTGTTTTAAAGTCAAGAAATATGTTAAAAAAAGATTACCAACCAGACAGGGATGAGAGTCACTTGGAGGCAGCACAGAAGTTCTTTGTAGTGGATACATGCAGTGACAGGAAGCTTTGGGAAAGTTTCCTACAGGAATCCAAGAATAAATCTGCATTAAGTCTGAGCATAGCCTGTGAGATCATCCAGCAGGCCATTCAGGCAAGAAGAATTGGGCTCCGCAAGCATCATGGTGCTCCACAAAGCACATTGGCAATGGCACCCCGAGGAATGCCCTTGACAGAGAGTGACCAGATTGTGGGTATCTCATTCTTCTGGGGGGGAAAGGATGCCTATTATGTCACACTGCTTGAAGAGAATGCTCCATGTGAGAACAATCTCTCAATTCTGGCCAGAATTTTAGATTCTCAACTCTAGGTTCAATGACTGGTTTCTTTTTGTAGATGTTCATGACTCTGAAGTATCTTGGACACAAGCAGCATTCGACACTTCAATCACTCAAGCAGAGAGAATAGCTGGAGTCATTGACATTCTGAAAAGCACAGGAGACCTGATCACACTGGACTCGAAGAATGTATACAAAGCACTCATCAAGGGCATTGGAGTTGGCCCTCAAACTTTGGGACGACATCTCCTAGATCCCAAAGTTGGAGATTGGCTCCTTGATCCTGGTACAAAAGATTCCAGTCTCCAGCAGCTGGTGAGATGAGAATAGCAAGTGCATCCTACATGAACCAATTGCTTATCTCTCAAAATGATACAATTGATGGTAGGTGATGAAGCATTGTCCTGGAGAGAGTTCACTTCTAGGGCTCATCAAGACCATGTGTGGTGTGGGAAGCATTGGGTTGAATGCCAGGAATAAAGGAACAGGAAGATTGAGGGCTACAGTTGAGTCAGTTCTGTCCTGGCATATGATGAGAGGCATTTCTGAGTCCATATGCTCTTTAGGATTGTCTCAGGTGTTCAGAGGTAGTAGCTGAGTTTTTTCCTTATCAACATAAATTATTTGAGGTTTTTTCTCTTGCAGGAAAAAATATGGTTGCTTGAAAATAATAGTTTCTGTCTTGCTGACCTCTTCTCATGCCAGAGATCGAGATGAAGAGCATCAGGTGTCTTGGGCAAATGGAATTGGCAGGCATAGGCTTCAGTGGTGCTGCTTGTGAAGCTCAGGCTAGTGTCATGCAAGCTAAACTGGCTGCACTTGAAAAGGAGGCCTTCCAATTGGCTGGACGGAATTTCTGCCTGTCCTCTCCGGATGATGTTTCCAAGGTGAACGATATGAATAGTAATAATCTATATGCCAGTGCATTGGGTCTTCTCAATATTCATAGAGTTTACAGTGATGTTGTCAATGGGTAAAGGGACCAGCGGTGCCCAACCTGTGGCCCGCAATGTGCTTACAAGTGGCTCTAACCCACAAATACCCTCAGATTTCCTTAAAATAGTCTCATACAATACTAATGACTGCATATGGCCTGTGTTGGCTGTGAGTGAGTTATGTAGCCCCTGAGCTGAAAAGTTTGGGCACTACTGATGTAGACTCTGTTTTCCTCTGGAATTGTTGTTCAAAATATACTCATTTAAATTAAGGAGAGGTGTGTTCCAGATTGATTTGGAAAATGATGAGTCAACTGGAGGTCAATTTTCTTCTACCAATGCTATTCACTTGATTGCATATCAATTGAATATATAGCAATTTTCCCAAAATCCTACATTTTATGGCATCATTTCCTTGGGAGGAACTTGTGGAATGAAGAGGAATTTGAACTTTATCTTACCTGAAATAACTGGGAGTGCCTGGATCCCCATTTCTTCAATCAACCCATATCAAATGTCTTGTGAAGTTAGTCTCTTAGTTTAGGTTTAGTTGCTGATTTGGTAAGCAAACTCCAAGGATAGGAATGTGAACAGCATGTCTGCCATCAAAATATGGTATAAGTGGAAATCCCTGATTCTAAATGAGCTTGAAAAGAGTCCATTAATTTCACCTATAGTGTGCTGCACTAAAAAACTGCAAATAAGACAGCTCATGCTGCTGCCATTTGCTAGTGCTATGAATTGTAGGCTCTTTTTTAAAAATAAGCTGAGAAGGAATTTTCAAAACTTTTTAGTAGGGTAGTACCTACTGGAAACACTCCACAACCATGAATTTCAACATCAATGGGCAGGGTTGATATTTAATGGATTTCATTAATTAGCTCTGACAAAAATATTCCTTCATAATATTTCAGCTATTAATACATTCCCTGCTATTCATGGCAAAAGCTGATTTAGCTGTCAACATTTTTTACCACTGTGTTAACAGCTTTTGCTGATAAGCAAATTTGGTTGCACTTGGATCAAACTAGTTGTCAGAGATGTCACTCAAATGCAACATCTCTATGATTTTGAAACCTGATATTGATTTTTGGTAAAATCTGGTTAATTTAGTCCTTTAACATCTGACTATGAATCTGTTGGGAGTGTGGTGCTATCCCAAAACAATTGACATGAAGTTGTACAAAATTCAACATGGATTATATTCCATACTCTGTCATTGAAATACTTGTTTGATTAAGATTCAGGTCCATCAAATTAGGAAAAAATTTAAACACAATGAACCAATCCAGTTATATTTTCTACATCTGTATCTTCATGCATGTGACTCCTTAGAAAGAAAACATGCTGCATAGAAAATGTAAGAACAAGACTCTATTCATGAGAGAGAGCCTTGGATCTGTTTGCACATGGGTGCAAACCTCAATAAGTACTGAAACTGAACCTTTGAAAATACCTATTGGTAACATCAGTGCAGCTGTCTACCATGAAATAGACTCATGAAAACAAATTGATATCTGCAGGTGCTGTATAGAGAGCTACATGTATCTACAGAAGGAATGAATGTTGAAGCTAGAGGTAAACGACTTGGCCTCACAAGAACAAGAGTCATATGTGGACCTACAAATAAAGAGGCACTCCAGAAACTAGCAAAGGTTCATCTGCTTCCTGGTGTAATCATGGAGTGGAGGAGAATTAGTTCAGCTCTGTCTAAGGTTGGAAGATTCCAAATATTCAGTATCAGATTGTTCTTGCTCAATTGTGAACTTCTAATCTATGCTCTGTACCTATAGGTTGTTCTCCCAATGCAACGAGCAAAATGCCATGACTCTTGTTCCCGTATGGATAGGATTTATCCTTGTTGCATAACCTTTACTGCTACAGGCAGGGTAACAATGCATGAGCCCAACCTGCAGAATGTCCCCAAAGACTTCCAGATCCAAATTACAGGTATTCATTCTCTGCTCTGTCCTAGACACTAAATTAAGAACAATCCAAATTTTCATGTTCTCTTTCCATCAGATGCCCTCCTGAACTCTTCAGGTGTTAGTAGAAGAGGTCTGGAATCCCCAACAAAGAAGGCTAAAAAATTGTTGGAAACCAGCTTGGGTGGTTTAGTCAAAGATGTGGAAGGTTCTTCACCTTTTGTTGTGAGCATGCGACATTCCTTTCTGCCAGGAGAAGGATGCCTCTTTCTGTCAGCTGACTATTCTCAACTGGAACTGAGGCTACTGGCCCACTTAGCCATTGAATCCCAACTGATCAATATTCTCAATAAGGGCATAGATGTGTTCAAAGCTGTAACAGCTCATTGGATGAAAATATCAGTCAGCGAGGTCAGTTACCAGTCGGCACCTAACCTCTTTTACTTATATCTGACTGTATCATTGTTATTCTTCAGGTATCTGTTGCATGAATGAACAGGTGACAGATGAGCTCAGGGCTCAGGGAAAGCAATTGGTGTATGGCATCATCTATGGAATGGGAACAAAAGCTCTGGCTGAACAAATGGGAGTGGAAAAAGAAGAAGATGCATTGATATTTATGACAAATTTCAAGCAGTCCTTTCCTGAGATACAAAAATACATGGAGGATGTCATGACGAAGTGTAGAAAGAAGGGCTATGTAGAAACTATCTTTGGAAGGAGGAGATACTTGCCTAACATCAACAGTTCTTCTCCTCAGGCAAGAGGTATCCTTATTTCATCTATCAGCCTTCTGCCAATACACTCCTAAACAAAAAATTTGTAGTCTAAGATGGATTGGGGAAAGACCCATGTGCCAAAAGAATAAATACATTTCTCCAGTTTTGAGAGAGTGAGCTCCAAGAGATCTGGCCCTTGAATTAAAAACTTATCAGTTCCCAGAGAGGAGATAGTGTCAACAGGATTGAAAGAGGAGAGGAATTGTCATTATCAGAGAACTCATAATGGTGTAAGATTATATCATATGACTAGATCATATTCCATCTGGAGATCATCTTTGGACGGTTTGAAGTGACCATGATACATTTTGAAAGCTGCATTGTAGATGCAACAAGTTGTTTTCAAACCAGCCGTAAGACTTTCTGAAACTGGACATTATGTTTGACACCAGTTCCTTTCAAGTGGCATGTACAGGGTGTTCGAAAAGTCACTGTACAGTAGAATTCATTTATTTTATTGCATGTATTTAGTATTTTACTGCATATCACATGTATGGCATCATCAAAGACATGAATTTCCACTCAATACTTCAAATATTAGCACCATCCCTGATTCACATAATTTATTGTCTGTAATTCCTAGCTACAGTGAGGCCTCCTACGTCATGTTGTGAATTCTACTGCACAGTGACTTTTCAAACACCCTGCACAATACTAGTTGGTAGAAAATATAGAACTAAAATCATTGCTCAGGTGTTCAAAGTTTCTGCATGTGCAAACTGTGCAGCATGCTGTGAGAAAGAGCTGTTGAAGTAGTGTTGGCACAGCAAGATAGTAGGTGAACTGGAATTCCACCAAAAGGATGAGTAGACTCTGTCATTTAACAGGGTATGGGCACAACCAAGAAAGGAAGCTACAGCAAGAATGATTTTTCCACTCCTCTTCTAGCTCCATCTTTTGAGACTTCGTGTTTTATTTCAGTTTTACCAGACTAGTAAATTTAGATTTTCAGAGGAATTTGAGGTGCAGTTTGCATGACAATTTCATGTAGAAAAAATGCAGAAATGGAGGGGTAGGGGTAGTTATCACCCTACCCCCACTTAGTGTGTCTATTGTGCTCATTTCTAGTATCAGAGGTTTAAATTGCCAGTATTGAGGTTTGTTCCTTAGCCAACCTTTTATAAATAGTTTTCGTGTCCTTCACTATATATTTGATTTCTTATGTGATTCTTAGCTCAAAGTGAGCGGCAAGCTTTGAACACAACTGTCCAAGGTTCAGCAGCAGACCTAGTAAAGAAAGCTATGGTAGCTGTGGATAAAGCTCTTAAGGAATCTTTTGGACACAACTGGATGGATATCAAAAAAGCCAGAGGAGCTCGACTTGTTCTACAACTCCATGATGAACTCATTTATGAGGTCAGTTTTCCATTGAGCCTTACTGCATCTCTAGAAACAGCAAACAGTGAGCATCATTGCATCCATGGTAAATTCAATCACTAATTTGAACTACAATTTTTATCCATGTTCCTGCATTGCACCCTTAGCATTGATGGGAAGTAAAATAAGCAGAAAAATAACTGCTTCTGTGCCTTATCATTCTTGCATTCCTTGTAATAGGTGGCAGCAAATGATTTGATTCAAGTGGCACAACTAGTGAAGGAGGAAATGGAAGGAGCATTGCAGCTTCGTGTCAAATTGCCTGTCAGATTGAAAGTTGGTGCATCATGGGCATTGCTGCGTGATCTTGTCTTGTGATAATGTGTTTTTGATCTCAAATATTGCAGGTACTTGTGGTCTGAAAAATTCACGCTTACCCTTTTGATTGATATGAAATATTAATTATTGATGAAATTCATGCTTTCTGTTTCCAATAACTGTATTCCAAAGATGTACAATTTATAAAATGGTATTAAGTGACATGATTTGATTTTCTTTTACTTTTCTTGAATGACAGCTTTCACCCAGTTTCATCAGTATGACTACAAAAGGAATTCAAAATGTTCCCCTCATTTTGCACAAGAGAACAGAACTTGAACATGATTTCCAATACAACTGTGTTCCTTTTTCTGTTCAATCTCCTTTATGCATGTGTGTTTGCATACAACCACAATTGACATCTGAAATGTAATTGTGGCACTTATTCACTGAATAAATTTTTATCTCCATGCAAAAGTCTAGCTTTTTTTAGACATGTTTCATATTACTACCAAATAAGGAATCCCAGTTCCTGCTACATAGCCTGACCAAGATCAGAAGAGAGAGCCTTGTTAGAGTGGATTGTAGTACATGGAGTATTTGGCTCTTGGAATGTTCTGAAGGGGAATGAATATTTTCATGCTAGGGCTGTACCAATCCAAGAGGAGAGCAAAGGGGCAGGTTAAACTTCAGACTGCAACAAAAAGTCTTCAAAGAGAAAGAGAAAATCAAATGTACATTATCTGGGTTGTTCAAATGCTGGTTCCTTCCTTGGTCTGCCCTGTAAGCATTGTGCCAAATAGACTCAATAGCTAGTGGCAAGATGACTGACAAGTCTGGATGTAGCATGGTGGGGTCAAATGCACCCAATAACATCATGTCTGGCCCTCGTAGCTGACCCATTGCAAGTCTGAGTATCCTGCCTGATTGAGTCAGTATGAATTGTTGGAGCTGACTTCATCATGCTTCCCTTGGTCACCCTCACCAGAGTCCCTGTTTCACTGTAGATCCTGGGTTTTCTATGGCTCCAAAGTCACTGAGGTTCATCCTCATGATGCAGATGTGCAAACCACAAAAGACTGATGAATGGCTTTCTTTTACTTTCATTGTCTCTCTTATGATGTTTCAGAAGGAAGTCATCACTCCTGAATTTGTGCAAATTGTACAAATTCAACTTGATGCTTCTTCCACTGAAAACAAGGGATATTACATAAGCAGGAGAGTCAATGAAACTTCCCAACATTTTTATATTTCTTACATTTTCTTTCTTCCCTTCCTCTTTTTTTACATGTGCAAAAGTAATTATTTTAATATCCTCTTAAAATTCCCAGTGAACTGATACCTTATCTAAGTCTCTGACCAAAATAGTTCTTGAGATGAAGGGCAGCAATGTCAGAGGTTAGGGGTTGACCCCCAATAAAACTTTTGGACAATTCACCCAAAAGTTTTTGGGCTTTGAGGAAAGGAAAACCCTATGAATTTTCCAACTAATATATTACCAGAAAAAAAAGGGAAACCTGAATCATACTAGAGCTCTTCTCACTTCCAATTCCCTTCAACCTGGTACAAGCCACAATGGATGTTAGCACATCCAGAGATTACCAATTGGCTTTCTGTTCTTGCTTGTCTTCCCAGTCCTACATGACATTTCCAGCCTTTCAATAGATCGAAAAATCATGGAGTATATTCAGTTTTCTTATCCAGATTAATTTGTGGTTTCTTTGCACATAATGAAAGAGTTTCAAATAGTAAAACTTCTACCCCATGAAAATATTCAAATGATAGAATCCTGAGTACATAGAAACACCAACCACAAGGGAAAAAAGGTGCAATGGTACTTTAATTCACCAATCCCAACACCAGATTGAAGATATCAGAATAAAGACAACTGCATTCATTGTGTACATTTACAGGCAAGTCATCTGAAGATTCCTGAATCAGCTCCTCCTGCCCCCATAGTAGATGCACTGTACATGCATCCAATCCCTTTCGCATAACACTGCAGGAATGCATAGGGAAATTGTGCCATGAACTTAACATTGCTTATGGCATACATGGGTTCCCAACACTTGCAAGTCTCAAGTCCTGGAACAAATATTTTTCAAATTGCAGCTCACATAGGTCCTTGACTGTTAAGATTCACTTGCAGAGATGTGAAATCTTTCTCTTGGACAATGCAGACACCCTTCTTAATATCAACAACCTTGACATGAGAGTGCCTTCATGACTTGCTCATTTCTCAAGTGCAAAAAACATGACAAACATTGCCATCCTTTAAAAGATTGACTTAAAAAGCCTCATTTTTGTAGTCTCACTGTTACTGCATCACATCAACACCACATTATCTATCCCATCCCCCCTCCCCCTTAGAATATCCTAGGTGTATTACTGTCAGTATGCACTTAGGGGCCAAGGCTGCTGCATCACATGTTCAGAGAAGGTATCTTGATGCCATGGGAAAGAGTTTCTATCTCTGCAAACCATAGCAGTACAGTAAAAGGAGAACCATGTGAAAAACATTTTATACAGTACTTGAGTTGATTTACTTTTTCTCAGAATTAAACTGAAGCTTGGACATGGCATCATGAAAGTTGAATCTACAACTCTCCCGATTCTATTGACATGATAGCATCTTGAAAATGTATGACAGTGCTCCAAATGGATAACAGGAATCACAGCCTTATATGGTACCCACTTCAAGGGAATCACAACCACATGGTGACAATAAATAACTAGAAGGAAAAGAAGAAATAAATGAAATGCTCCAAGCCCTCTACTCAAATCAAAGACGTTTCACTTGCGGATTCAATACTGTGTTTATCAGGTGCTTACAACCCATTCCTCTTCTCAAAGAATGAATTTATATGTACTATTGCATCCATAGATGGTATGAGGTTAAGTCCCTTGCATTCAAATGCTCAGATCCAGAAAACAACTCCACATAACCCACTCACTAATAACCACTATGTAAATTAAAGAGATGAAAAGTTTTCCAGGAATCCTACGAAATCACTAAGAGATGTCATTCATTTTTACTATCAATATGAATACTAATACATGTGGAAACTGAAAATAAAATCAGACTTTAGGTAGGATTGAGCTAAGGATAGAAGTAACAGGAACAACAATCCAGTTTGAAGCGTTGTTGAAGTACAAGCAGGGCATCCTAATTGGGAGATTGAAGATATACATTCATTCATCAAGATTAGAAGGAATGAATAGCACTGCCACTCAAGAAGAGAGATAACAAGATGATATAGAAACCATGGCAAGATGTAAAGATTGGACCCTGACCAGCAGGGGGTACGTGCAGTCCCCTCACATTCATCTATTGCCATCCACACATAAAATCTCTGTATTCTTTCACCAGCACCCAAGATAATGGTTCAGGAAGATCTTGCTTGCTTAATTAACACAAGCACTCAAGACATCATGAGAGGATCACAAAGACCAAGATATGAACTGAAGTACAAAACACTCATATACAGCACAATAGTGCTATTATGTTCATGGGCCATTCAATGAAGAAGGGACTGTCAGGAGGGTCCTGGGGGAAAAAGTGGGATCTAAACCCCAGCCAGCAGGGAAAAGAACCCAATGAAACTTGCACAAAATGCAAGAAATTGCATCCATCATGAAACTTGCAGGCTCAAGAATGTTACTTCACATATTCCAGTGTTCCAAGTTCGACTGCAACTAGTCCACTGACTTCAGGCTGACTAGGCTCACCACTTCTGAACATCATGGAGCTGGTGTTGGATCTGCACTAGATACACTTACTGAGAAAGGATTGGGGTAATGATTTAAGGCTGCCCTCCAACAAATGGTGCTCTGTCAAAGCTATGAGAACTACTTCCTCTCATGGCCTTTAGCTCTTACTTCATAGCATAGAATGGTGGTACTATCCCAGCCCTTCTTGTTACATGGGAGAGTTCCATCATCAAGATCTGCAAAACTTTTGCTAGATGTCACCTCCTTTAGGCATCCTTGATTAGGCAATTTGTGTAGCACGCCATAGACTGCCAAGTCAGAAGGCCCACCATCCCATCACATTGGTCCAGTTCAAGTTGGAGTTGAGAAAGATGAACTAATGGAGACAAATGGATCTGAATCATGACAATTCCTATAAATTTTAATAATCTACACCTTGGTCTTCAAGGATCAATAGGCCCACATAGGCAACCCCTGATCACCAAAATCTATTGTGATCCAGCAACAAATATCTGAAACCATTACAACTCAGATGCAACTTGAATGCTGAGTTCAGTGGAGCTGCATGTATGTGCAACAACTACAATGAACTCAAAGAACAGACCTGAACTTGAGCACTGGATTCGCCATTCTATCAATTTACTTTATTAGCTAATACAGCACAGAGGAAAGCATTCCCACTGGCCAGTCACATGCAAGCAAACTCAATCAATATTGGAATGATTGAAGAGAACTTCAACTTCAGTTATCTCCTCAAGCTGGGACTGTTTTCTAATTTTTTGTTATGAAAACAAACATTTTCATCCCAAGTGGAACGAAACTATTCCCTTGGGGATCCCATTAAGGGGAATCAACATAAAAGTGTCTCATCATTTGCCAGTCATCCATTATCAAATTTCCAGTAAAAGTATGGGTACTTCCCACAACACTTAGGCTACCAATTTTATTCCATGAACCTTATGAAGGTGATAATATTTATTTCCTTTGATTCAGGTCATCAATAAAAATGTCAGAAAAAAAAAGCGTGGGATGGATGTGGTATTAGCCAAACCAGCTGACATACACTGAAATTACAAAACTGGTTGCAATTACAGGGGCATTTTCCTTTAAACAGTCTGCATAAATTGTGACATCTCATGATGGTTTCTGGCACTTTTGTTTTATGAGGGTATAAATCAAAATTTAATTTATGTGCATGAAAAATGGTAAAGAGACTGGAGATCACTCAATGCTGCAAGCTAGTTGCATTATTGTCATGGGCAGGTATACATACAGGTACATAAAACTAGCTTGAGGAGATAATTACCTTCTTTCATTCCATAAACTAGACAGCATGTTGAAGAGCCAGTATGATGTAACCACAGATCTTGAACTGAATAAAATATTAATGCAGAATCAAAAGCAACTGCAAGCACCTTCAAATACAATTTCCATAATTAATCTATTAAGGCCATCTGATTGTGGAAGCAGTAGCAAATTCAATCTGAAGAAAAGAAAAAAAAGACAATCACAATAATCACAGTTTTTTCCTATCTGCAAAACAGATACATAAAGAAGGGACCTAAAGGACACCTAAAACTCTCAAAGACTCATGAGGCTAAAAAATCAGCACAATGAATTCCTCATATGAAGAAAGTCAATTCAACTCAAAATTTGGGGAAGGGAGGAAATGCTTCTGGTAATCAAAGAGTGAGAATCAGACTATATTGACTAACTGGGACTTAAGCATCATGAGAAAAGGAGATAAAAATAAAAGGGGTCCTCAAGGGAGCAAGAGTCAATTGAAAAACCTAAAATGGGCCTATGTCAGTAAGACTGAATAACTACTCTGCTGTCTTCATCATCAATTAGTGTGAAATGAGATGGTACATGAAGGAGTCCCTTCTTAGGTCGACCCAACAATCGTCTTATGTATATCACAATTGCAAGGACAACAAGAATGATGCAGAGGAGGAGAAAGGAGTTGTGCAGCCGGAATGACCAATAGGGATTCAAGGCATGTGTGTGAATGTGATGGTTCGCCTGCTCCAGCTGATTGATTGCCCTGGAATAGAAAGACAAGGGATTTATCAAGAAAACATCCTTTGAAGGGTTCCCTTCAGAAAATTCAAGCAGACTGACAGCAGGTCTGAAAGCATGTAAAGCTGGGAAGTGACTAGAGTAGCAGGTACCTTCATTGTCTCCACTCCCTCACCCACCCACCAATCGGTAGCAACAATTTAAGTGACAAAGAGTGAGGGGAAGTGGAGGGGGGGGTGAATAGAGACCAGAACAAAGGCATGGGCTGGAACACAAGAGCCACTGACCTCCAGACAAAATCTGGCTGCAAGAATGAGGGGTGGTAACAGGCAGGTGGAGGAAGAGCCCAGATACAGAAAGCATTATGGATGCATGCACACTTTGCAGGGGATCTTGTCATTGGAGCATGATATTTCTGGCTGTCCAGATACAGAGTGACATTCACAACTCACCTGACAGGGAAGTATCTCGTCTTGTGGAGAAGAGCGCCCAAAGGCCAGCCAACAGTGGTCCCCTCAATTGTGTATGGACTAGTGTAGAGTTGTGAATAATGATAAGGAAACTTCATCCCTTCATGTAGGGCTGTCATAATCCAAGCTGCTTTGAAGCATTGATATCTCATACGATGCTCATCTGCCAATGGATAGCTGTTGTTTTTGAACTGGGCCCAGATGTGGCTCCAGTCTGTTGAGCAGAAGTTCTGAAAATATACACCAAACAACATATCCATGCAAGAGATACCAGTGAAAAACAAGAAAGACATGTTTTCTTTAAACAAACCTCCATTGTATTTTTCAGCAGTTGTGAGTCATACTGTCCTCCAAGATGGAGTACATCATCAAGGGAGTACCAAAATTCAGAGAAGCCATAGAACTTGGCAGCAGTCACATCAAGCATGGGAGGTGGATGCATGCGTGATGCAAAATCACAGTTGGGCTTGGGAGTGATGGAATTCTTTTCTGTATTTTGATTCAAGCCTTCTGCACAATCCAGTTCCCTTCTGGAATAGCCAGTGAGGGATTTGAGGCTCAACAGGCAGGCTGTGAAATTCCCTAGCCCCCGAAAGTACACAGTCGACTTGGGAGGCTTGCCTGGAAGAAATTCACTTGTTTGCAGATCCACAGAATCCAGCAAGTTTTTAGGAAGGCAAGCACTTGGCAATGGATTTGACTCTAATGTTCCAGGGACCCTAGGAACACAAGATACATTGAAGCATTGCAAGAAGGTAGGCACAATATCAGATATATCACCCACTCATGTGGATAGGTATGGAACATCAAAACTTACTCTGAGGCATTTTTCTTTGATGCTTGAGAAACAATCACTTCTTGATAGTGAGCCAGCTTTTCATTTGCACCAAAACCAAGGAAAGTAGTGACATAAACACGGTAAATGAGAGTAGGGTCATCATCAAATGCTCCAATGTTCACTTCCATCAGCTGAGCTTCCTTGTCATTCTATCCATATAGAAAACAGGCACACACATTCAGCATGTATGCACACAGGAGACAAGTGGTCTTAAGAGGCAGAAATGGGAACTCACATCACGGAGAACTTCTTCACTGGGTTCTTCTGGGGGGACCTCAAATGCAATCTGCATGGATGCTCCTCCCATATCCATAATGCCAACAGTTGGCCGACGAAGACTCTGCTTTATTGGACCACGAGTAACAAATCTTCCAAGGGTACCCATAGCATAATTAATGGCAAGCCATTGAAAGAATCCCTCCTGCTTTCCTCCTATAGTTTCAACATTTGAGCTTGGGAAATGAAATGGATACTTTTTGGGGATTTCTGTTCTCAAAACTTCAAAAATGGCATCTTGCTGTCTGAAAAGAGAAAGTCAGAAAGTGAAAATAAATTGGATATGCAAACACAACAATACAACATGTATCTTCCAAGAGACTGTATGCTTTATTAGTGCAACAAATATGTTCAACATACAGGGTGTAGCAGAACCTTTTGCTAGGGGGTCCCAAAAAAGCTGAAAGCAGCACAAATAAAATCACAGCATCAAATTAAAAGTAATTAATTTCTGGAACCAATGACATTAATAGTTTGTTTGCCCACCATTCGCCTGATATATGGCCTGCAAATGCAATGGATACGATTGGAGCAGGTTTTTGAAGAGATCCATCTTGTACTTCTCTCTATCTCTTTGAAAGCCTCGTTTCAAAGAGATAGATCTCTTCAAAAACCGGCAAATGGCAGGCTCACAAACTATTAATTGGATCCAGAAATGAATTACTTTCAATTTGATGCAGTGATTTTATTTGTGCTACTTTTAGTTTTTTCTGGGACCCCCTAGCAAAAGGTTTTGCAGCACCCCATGGATAAGTATCACTGGATAATTAGTACAAGGAATATTCAATAATTAGAGGGAGAAATGAACGTAGAGTGTATGTAGCAATGGGCAATGAGCTAGGGTACCAATAATTTAATGTCCTACAGACAGTTTTCACAGGTGGCAAGACCACTAGACACATGCACCGGAGCAGTACATTGTTCCAAGTTGACATATATAAACATGGAAAATGAATGCCAAGAACAGTGGGCTATTGTAAGGTTCCTGTGAGCCACAGGTACCAAACCTGTAGAACTCCATTAACTTATGTTTGCCATGTATCATGTGCTTGGCAGGAAGGGAGACCTCCCCTGGATTGCTCCCTTGCAGGTCATTCTCTTGCATGACAATGCTTGACTAGATGCTATCTGTGGGACTCAGGAAGACACTTGCTGACATGGGATGGGAGCAGCCAACATCCTCCTTGCTGGCCTGATCTAGCTCCAGTGACTAACTACATCCATCTATGCCACAGGCATACTGAAATTGTGATGAAAATGAGATATGGTTCAAATTGTGTCATAACATTATGTGGATAAATGAGAAGTGACAATAACCTACCTGCACAATTGTGTCTAATTCTATATCCATTTGTACTCTCTAAATTGGATATCCCTCATAGTTCATGAGATGTTATAGACATTTTAACCACTTACTTCTGAGGAAGAAGGCGCATTCCTGCTGTAGCTAGAATGTATAGAGAGGTTTCAAGATGCTTCTCTTTGGGAATGTTTTCCATTGCAAAATTCAACAGAGGTGAAATATAATCCATTGCCTTGGATGGGTCACTGCCATATGTTGACAATCCTAAGAAAAGACAGAAAATGTGTTTCATAATAACCAAATCAGAAGGGAAAATAGATAACTTGGGTATTCCTTATATGAGAAAAAAGAGCAATCTGTTTGTTTATTGGGAGAGAATTATTATAAATGGGTCTCCCAGTGTCATGTCACCATATGCAAAATGCAGACAGTCTGATCCTTTGTTACTGGCTACAAGCAAAAATTGCAATTAAGTGACAAGCAACAAATACATGAAAGTACTGGTATTTTATGAAAGTGCAGTGGTATAAACATATCTATTAGAATCCCAAAATTTGGAAATTTGATAATTGTGCCCTTATTAGGTGACAAACACTGCTATGCATTGTTGGCCCATGTTCCTTGACTGTGTCTCATGATATCTGGGAAAACTCATATAAATATGCCATTTACAGACAATTTCTAAAGGTGGCCTAAACTTCGGGTGGCCCAAGATAGCTAGTTGAGTCTAATCTTATTAGACATGAAAAGCTAATATATTTTTTGGCTTAGCTTACTTTAAATATGCATTGCTAATCTCAATACATTAAAAATAAGTGATAAAAAAGCATATGAATATATATGAAATGAATGTTAATACAATTAACTCCAAATAAATATTTAAAAAGTGTTAAATTTTGAAATTGCTAAGTCAAATAATAGCACCTTGGCAGTGAAATTTACCCTGTGGGCTGTGTTTAAGCAAATTTTCAACTTAATGTCAAAACTGTCAAAGTGGGATCATTACACTGGGGAATGGGAAAATCAGATGATAATTATGACTGAAAAAAAGAACTAGTAAAATAATGTGCCAACTGAGAATATCATGAGCCTACTTATGGCAAATACAACAGGTACAATATCTTTGTCTCAGAAATTCTCTGATCCTCTTCAAACTCATTTTTCATTTCATGCTTGATTTCAAAATTCTCTCCTCTCACAAATTGTCATTGCTCTTTCATATGGTTTAACTGCTACTGTATGGGTGGAAGACTCTAAGCAAATTTCAGTCCAATGATTTCATTTTAGAAGTAATGTCACACCATGGAACTCCAGAGAATGAGGGATTATTCTCCTGAAGGTTAGCAGATGATGCACCCTCAGAAGCAAATGCAATGCTCACTTTTGCAGATAAAATCTAAAGCCTGAATCCACAAACCTCATTTAAGAGAGATAAAGAGGCCTTTAAGTTAAAGAGCTCTTTTTCCCCCATTGGAGTCCAAGTATTCTGAAAGGGCCATTAACTAAAGGAGGTTTCAGCATTTGGGTCTAAGCACATTACTTTATTCTACCCTAAGATGGACTTTAAATATAGGATGTACTTGTCATGCATCATCATGCTCACAACCTGCAAAATCCTCACACCTCTAAAAAAAAAAAGAATAAACTGATAAGGAGTACCTGGAGTAAGTCTCTTATGCAATGGCTCCTTGGTTTCAGGATTCTTCAGGGCTCGAATGTCAAGAAGATGGTGTCTGACTCCAGAATGTTCTGGCCAGCAATATAAATACACTCGACTTCCACTACTTCCAGCATCCACCATCACAGCATAGTGAATGCATTCAGAAGGGCTCATGGCCCATGTTGTCCCTCCTACAACTGGAAAAAGTCAGATTTTCAGCTGTATAACTTGAGACTCATATTTGGGTTTGGATGAATTTGTAAATATTATTAAAAAATCTCAATTTCTCAAATCAGAATTTCTGTGAGTTGTCTGCTCTGATGCCATATTCTAAAGAATATTTTTAACCCTTTCACTGTTTAAAAAAAAAGCCTTCACAACCTCCACTGTGTTACAAGAATTGTGCTGTGTCTCTGTGAACAATGGTTGAAGTTTAAATTGTCATATCTTGGAAACTATTGATGATAGACCAAAATGCATTTTAAAATGTATTTCCAGGAACAGCCAGTGTTATCAGAAAGTGCAGAAATTTTTTAGACATTTATAAATCTATTGACTGACATGATTTTACAAAAAGTAGGGATGATAAAATTTTTTTAGCAGTTTCCAGTGAGACTGAATAGTAGGCCATTTTGTAATGCCCATTAAAATCAGTATCAAAATAAATGTACGAAATTCCTATTTAGCGAGGTTTTCCCTTTGTTTTACCCTTGACTATTCACTTAAGAGTTGTGTTAGAAATAAGGTCTGGTGCAAATTTATATGTTTCTGTTATTATATGTTCAAGGAGGTTTCCTTGTGTGCATATTGCCAGGAACATATAAATTGACCCAGGTCATCCATGAAAATTAGTACAGAAATATCTATCTCAGGGAGATTATCTAGAATATTCATTTTCAATCCAGGATTTCCTGTAAAAGTCAAGGAATGAGTTGCATGAGGATTCTTGTTGAACTCAGGTAAATCAGCAGTTTTTTGTGCCCTTGGTCTACCTCTATTCCTGCTTGCATCTGCACTCCCATTATCGTAATCTTCAGCTTCTTAAGTTTCAGCTTCAACTTCCATTTCTAAACCACTTTCATTTTCACTAACACTGGAAATGCCAGAATCAGCTTTAAAATTATATTTATTTCATCATCATCAAAACTAAGTGAGTAGGAAACCATTTTTACAAAATAAAAATACGCACTTTCTTTTTTTGTTATTCATTGCTTCCAAAAGTCCTATACATTGACAAAAGCAACACTTTTGCATAGAAAAGGATGTCTTATTTTCAAAAATACCGAATATATGTCAGTTACATCCATAAATAGAGGAGAAACAACCTAAAAGGACTGGGTTTCAGAGCCTGAGTATGTACTTGGGCTACCTTCATGAAAGTATTGTGCATAGCCAGAGTATGTACTCAGGTTAATAGCAGACTATTCCCCATATTTCTACCATTTTCCCTCAGAATGAAAGGAACACAATAGTGGTAAGGATTGACCTTCATTGGAACCCTAGGGGTGTACCAGAATGTGTAATAAAATTAGTATGAGTAGAGCCTTGTAGCAAACTACCAATAGGTCAGTATTTCAATGGATAATACATTCAACTTTTAACCTTGCTCACACCTTGGCAATTGCTAGGAAATCATTAATGACAAGGATGAAATGATATTAACAGCCATTGCAGATGGTGAAGTATCAAACCTGATATGATGTAATGGGTTCCCAAGTCAATTTCAAAAGACATACTCCTTAAGAGTAAAGTCATCATGATATAACACTTTATGGTGATACGATGTATTTAAGATCTTGGCTGAATATCATTCTATGCTGGCACACACATGGCAACATCAATAAGAATGAGGGTAGAGTACCTGATGAATCAGAAGCGTGAAGGAAGGCCTCCACAACAAGGATGAGGAAACTAAACCCAACACAGAAGAGAAAGGCAACACTAAGGGTCCACTGCAGGAGGAAACAGCGGGGGCTGGAAGCTTTTGTCCAAATGTTCACATTTAAAGTTGGGTTCTTCATGTTCAACCTGGGAAAAGTGAAAACATCTCCCATTAAACAGCTGACACAAAAGTTATGAAAGCAAGGCATAGAGGAAGGAGATATGGGAAACACCAAGGGTAAAGGGGTCAATCCCTGACATGACTTTCTTTAAAAGATGACGGAAATGAGACATCAGTAAGAATCAAGGAGGGAGCCTCAGGAAAGTGAATAAGGAGAACATACTTGGCTGGACACAACATTGGTATTGGGCTTCAATATGCTTGAGATATAGGGCTGTCATATGATGTCTTGACGTAAATTGAAATAATGAGAAATATATTTCAGGTTACTGTGTTACTGATATATAGTATACCTTCCTCTCTATCTGGGCATAATACAGGCATTTACTGATAAAACGTGCAAAAGATAAGACTTTTATCCTTGGATCCCTTTTTGATTTACAATTGCAGGATGACACAATTATTTAATATTGTAGATGAATTTGCTAGTATATGATACCTATATTTACTTGTGGATATATATACAGGGTGTCCCAGAAAGATGTATACACTCTTCAATAGTCTAACATACAGAAACATGTTGTCCATCAGCATTGAGTCTTGCTTCATCAGAAAGCCAATTAATGGTGTTACTGAGCAGCGCTTCACCAAATTGCTAACACCACTTGCTGTCATTGTTTGGGCAAGATGGCATAGGTGCATCTGTGATTTGATCAGTGCAAGCAGTTATTGAAGTGGCATGGGAAATTTTAAGATTTGAGAATGCAGCAGAAGTGCAGTATGCATGGAGACATGAGTGTGGAGCAACACCACCAACACACCTCACAACTGCACAATTGAGAGACAAATTTGAAGCCAAAGACACCACGTGGGCAGTGGATAGGACAACATTGACCTGTGGAATACCCACCACAGTTTCCACCTTGAGTGCCCCTATTTCTACTATTGGGATGTCCTGAAGGACAAGGTGTACACCATGAAACAGATAACCCTCCAGCAACTCCAAGAGAGCATTGTTGATGCTTGTACCCTCATTCCAGCTGAAACATGTGCAGATGTGTGTCACTCTGTTGCTCACTGTTACAATGTCTGCCAGGCTGTAGATATTGAATATTTTGAACACCTAAGCTAGTGTATAGTGTAAGTTATTATTTACTTTCTGGTGAAACAAGAATAAACACTGAGGGCCAACATGTCTTTGTATGCTAGACTACTGATGCGTGTATACATCTTTTTGGGACACCTCATATATGATGGGCTTCCCAAAAATTAATGGACTCCAATGGAAGAAATAAACAGTATTTAAAAAATTATTTTTCTCTGAAAGGGTCTTTATTCACGATTTCTCCACATAAATGCCACCAACCTCAATGCACTTTTTAAGGCACTGCACCCACGCTTCAAAACAACCCTCAAAATCCACTTTGTTCAGCTTGTCCAACTGCTCCTGCATAGCATCAATGAGCTCCTCCCTTGTGTTTTCCAAAGTGTTTTCCACACAAAGGCACCTTAATTTTTGGAAACAACCAAAAGTCACACAGTGCCAGATCTGGATGAGTATGGCAGCAGCTCAATGAGTTTGATGCCAGAGGCACCGATGAAATCCACAGTTGCCTTGCAGTGTGCACTGGGGCATTGTCATGGTGCATAAAATGCTCACAAAGTTTGGACTTGTGGTGACCTCTGCAGACATTGTTGAAAACTACCGGCAGGCAGTTCTGGAGTACTAGAAGCAGGCAAGACAGTGACGTCCAAGTGGTACATCAAGAACTGCCTGCCAGTAATTTCAACAATGTCTGCAGAGGTCACCACAAGTCCAAACTTCATGAGCATTTTATGCACCATGACAATGCCCCAGTGCATACTGCCAAGGCAACTGTGGATTTCATCGGTGCCTCTGGCACCAAACTCATTGAGCTGCTGCCATACTCGTCCAGATCTGGCACTGTGTGACTTTTGGTTGTTTCCAAAAATTAAGGTGCCTTTGTGTGGAAAACACTTTGAAAAACAAGGGAGGAGCTCATTGATGCTATGCAGGAGCAGTTGGACAAGCTGAACAAAGTGGATTTTGAGGGTTGTTTTGAAGTTGTTTCCAAAAATTAAGGTGCCTTTGTGTGGAAAACACTTTGGAAAACACAAGGGAGGAGCTCATTGATGCTATGCAGGAGCAGTTGGACAAGCTGAACAAAGTGGATTTTGAGGGTTGTTTTGAAGTGTGGGTGCAGTGCCTTAAAAAGTGCATTGAGGTTGGTGGCATTTATGTGGAGATATCGTGAATAAAGACCCTTTCAGAGAAAAATAATTTTTTAAATACAGTTTACTTTCTTCTATTGGAGTCCATTAATTTTTGGGAAACCCCTTGTAATGGACAAAGATGCAGAGTTCCTTATACCTAAAAGACCTGATTTAGAGATTATGTTTTACATACTCAACACCCTGCATGATAACATCTAGGAAAGAAACAACTATTTTTGTGCTATACAGACACAAAGTAACAAAACTAGTCAATTTAACTCCCACATTATCAAGTGTGTGGAGAAGTCAGTTTTTGAGGACTCAGAAGAATCCATTCCTTTCTCATCTTCATGCCCTGAAGGAGTGGGATTTTGCTTTGACCCATGATGTATATCCAGTTTCCAAGCAGTTGATTCCATTTCATCAAGCATCAAACCCAAGGTATTATATCTCACATCAACTTGATAAAAGGGATGCTGATTTTTCTTTGAATGCTTCAACCTGATTAGTTGGAAAATCATGATAGTCCATTGAATTCATAGAGATGAATGTGATAAGAACTGTACTTTACCATGATCCTTGTCAAGTATTATTATTATTATAACCTATGCCAAAATCGAAGACACACCCTTCACCTGCAATGCACAAACCTCACCACACACAGTAGAAGAATGACTGGTTCTCAAGACAGGATAAATAGGTTACGTAGAAAGATGACTCTGCTGAAATCACACTGACCTTGGCATTACTGGCATAAGTTAGTGAATGGAGAGCAGAGAGAGACTTGCAGAGCTTCTCCTCCACGCGCCCTTGAAAGCGACCATGCAGATCAAAAGCAACAGTTGCTGTCCCAATTTGGGACTCATGTTTTGGAAGAATAATTTCCAAACATGGAATACTGCTCAATTTAGGAGGGGAGGAAAGTGACCTAAAAGAGACAAACCAAGTCAGCATTCTTGCCAGAAACTCAGTAAGCAAAAACATAGATCTTGCCCTTGACCCAAAAGCAAAAAGTTCAAGTGGACCCTGTTGTTAGTCTGAATGAAACGCATGCATGCCAGAACGAGTGCAAAAATTGTATCATAAAACTACAAACCTAAATGTTTTTTCAGTCAATTCAACTTCACAACTTCCATCTCTGACTCCATGCTCACCATGAAAATTCTCAAACCAGTTCCCTCACTCAATTTCATTTTAATTGTTGCAAATATTTTCAGTCTTTGACAAATTGGCCTTGACCTTCAGATAGGCCAGCACAAACATACAGATGCATATATGCCATATTGTAAAATACATACTGACAAACAGAGCTGTACTTGTTCACACGGCCATGACTGAACTAATATGGGGGTCATAGTTTGTAAGTTTCATTCTCATAATCTCATCAATCTTTCACAAATAACATGATGGGAATGATGTTTCAAGAACTTGAGGACTACCTAGTTGAGGTTCCACACAAACCCTTGGTGCTTTCGTTACACCAGCCAATGATCAGATGTGTCATGGCAGGGGAGGTGGTTGGACCCATTTTCCATCACATTTACTTAATTTCCTAAGGAAAGCTTTCAGTCTTCCAGCCAATATGGGACATACATAGAAATAGGAAAATTAACTTGAAATTTTTCTTTTTCCTGAATTTAAATATTCAGACACATATTGTCTATGGTGAAGAGCCATACACAGGCTAAAGGCCAGCCTACTTGGTCCAACCCAACCTGACCAGTAAGCTGTATAGTTTTGAAAATCCTGGGATCCCTCCTTGGGTTGGATCAAGTCAGACTGTTTTTTTCTACTTTTTTTTGCAGGATTTTATACTGCCTCTAAATCATGGACAGCCTGCATTTTGACTAAAATTTCATTCAAGTTTACTATATGTGAGGTGAATGATTCAAGGCCAGAGGCAGGAGACAATCTTTTGTTATGCATAGCAATTGGAAAGGATGAGGGCTATGAGTATCAGACTGTCAATAAGTCAGTTAACATAAGCACAAAATTATATCTCCAAGCTCATCTTGCCACTCTGGAATATAAGGGAAAATATCGCTGAATTTTTTTTCTTATGTTAGGTCAGGCTGTGAAATTTTGTTGGTTACAGAATGGGTGCAGGCAAAGAATTGGGCTGATTAGGTTGGGTTCTGAAAAATAGGCCCATGCAATGCAGGGCACTACTGTGGTACTAGAAAGATCAACATTTGAGGAATATCTGCTACCATGTATTGAGAGAAAGCAGCCCTAGTCCAAATTCAAAAAGGCCCCCCCCCCCGTTAACCCTTTATAGGTTACTTGTACAATAGTGCACCATCTCCCTCTCTTTCTGCAAAGTCTTGCCCTATAAAAGATTAAAGTGAGGCACCACTGCTGTTAGGTACAACAGGGTATGGAGAAAAAAAGACCAAGGACTTTCAATATATATATCTCTGCTCTCATTGGAGGTATTTTTACAAACTTACCTTGTCCATAGATTCATATCCTCCTAGCAGACCTCCAGAATTTCATTTAACCCTTTGTGGTTCATTTTATTCTGCAAAGGGTTAAATTTTTTATACTAAATCAAGGCTATGAGCAATTATTCAAAATAAATTGAAAATAGACAGGAGAACCTGGTCCCTTCAAAGTGACTAGACTCTGCCTGATTTGCACTCTGGCATAAACCAAGTGACAAATCTGAAACTTGAGTTATGTATTAATACAAAGAGCGTGCTCAATTAGAAAAAAAGATTTTATCAAACAGTCTGCAAAAAAAAAGGCCAGCTCATAATATGAATTTAAGTGGTAGAGTTCAGTGTGGCCTGGGCAATTTGAAAGAACAGTATGAAAGTGTTCCTCCACTAGACTGTTGGCATGAGTTCTTGTCCATTTTCAATATCCAAATTCTTTGGAATAATTGATCATAAAGCTTTGCCACAGCATATTGTTTGAAAATTTGGAGAACTATTGGAAAATATTCCTCTTTACACAATGCAAACTTCATAATAATAAAAATAGCTTCAGTGGGGATAGATATGGAAGTCACTGACTGTTATCTCAAGTGCTAAAACAATACAAAAATCTGAAGCAGACATTAATAATGATATACAAGGAAGTCCATTCCCTCATATCCAAAAGCCAGGTGAGATTAAAACAATTTGGTAGCATGGTAGAGTGTCATGAGATTCAGTGTTCCATATGGTCAGCAGTATCTACACAACCTTTTTATTCTTTTTTTTAAAGTCAAATACAGCAAGACTCGGCACCTTGACATTTTGTAATGATATCACACATTCACAGAATTCCAGACAAAGTGTGACTATTGGGGACTATGCTTTCATTGAGGTCTTCAGATTAAAAGTGCAAACCATCTGATGAGATTTGTCCCAATAGTGTCTGAGTAACAGTTCAGCTGCAGTGACTGGAAGGCTATCACAGTTTAATGAAATTATGTCCACTCACATTAGAAGATCCTGCCATGACTGTCTGAAAACCTCAAACACTTCATTATTGCTGTACATTGCAGGATGCAATTTCACCAGAAATAAAATCCAATGACCATCTGAAATGCAACATTCCCATGAAAAAATGTTCCAATGAGACTGTGAAAATGCAATAAAGGGTAGTGAGATCACTTCGACCTCACTTACTCAATATAATAGTTCAGAATAGGTTATGTTTTAGCAATTTGAAACCTCATGAATGTCAGATGAAACTGCATGTGCACTTTGCTAGCAAAGGTGCATATCTTATGCCTACAAGCCACATGAATGAAAGCCATGAAAGTCCACAGTTCTACTGCAATTTGCATCATCACTGTCTAGGAACAGAGTCAGAGGAACAAGACTCAGATGTTCCTCCCATCATTATTTAAATTATAACTTGACCTGGACAGCTTTTACATCTTTGATAAGCTATAGATCCTTACCAGAAAAACTTTAGCATGCAATATAAGAGACATTTAATGTGGCTGTTATAATCAAATACAAAATGTATCCAGGCAGGTTAGTCTTGTATAGGCCAACTATCTGCATCTTTTAGTTCTTGGACACATCTATCCACAGCTTCTTTAGCCTCTTGAGATCCAAGACACATGTTCTTCAATGAATTTTTAGCAATTGCCTGTAACATTCTTACAAATTTATAGTATGTCATATAAACAAGTCTCAGGTTTACTCATGAATTTTGCCATTAAACCAGAGTGAACATTGAGTGCTAGAAAACTCAGAACACTACATAGCTAATGATCAAACAGAGTTAGTTCCACTCAGGTTCCTAATTGGACTTCTGCTTGCAATTGCTAAAAAAAAATCCCCCATGGAAGGCTTAATATACAAAATATAAAAGGAAAAAAAAACTATACAATGTTCAGTTGTCCAATAGACACAAGGACCAAATCATATCTAAATGGACACAATAAATTTGTTATACAAAATGCTTTTAAAGTTTTACAACAAAAAAAAAACAATTATTTGAATTTGTTTGAGAATTCTCTCTAATATTTATTAGCACTTTTGATTCTTTTTAAATTTCAAATTTTTTAATTCTTTTCAAACATTCTTTTTCATTTTTACATTTTAAAAATGTATACTCAAACAAAAGGTATCTCCTTCACAAAATAGTAGATTCCCAATCCACTGTTAGACCTGGGGTCTCAAGAGACTAATAGTTAATTGTAATTGTAGACATGTAACTACTTTTAGAGGTTTTCAAATTAATCTGGTAGGGATCTGAATATGCCAATAACCTCAAAATCACTGTTGACATTTTGAAGGCATTATAAATTCACAGAGAACCTTTCTCATGGAGAAGTCATGTTAAGTTAGTGATAATCAGGTTATGGGAAGATGAAATGAAGGATCACAGTCTGCCAGCATGTTGTTACCTCTAAAAGAAAGGAATATGAAAAGTAGGAATCTGTCCTCATCTACATGGAACACGTTTGGCAGACAAGGTGAATCAAACAAAGATGAATCTCAAAGAATTTTAAGATCCATATTGAGGACCTCAAGGCAAACACTTAAAAAATGACAGATCCTGAGCCTGTGATACTAATGGAGGTCCATGGCATCATTCATCCCTGTGCAAAAGCCCTAGTCACAATTTTACTCAAAAGCATTGAAAATAAATGTACTTAAGTGCAGTGAAAAAAATACTGGTATTGCAAGAGACAATCGACTTTTAAGAGAATCACAATTTCAAGATGAAGAATGCCATCTAAGTTCATACAGTACTGCATATGCTATGATGCAAGGAGAGTGGAATGGGGAAAAAAATGGAATGTGACTAGAACTACATTTACAGACAGTGGGCTTTGCACTGGGGATACATCACATGATGAGCAAAGTCTGCTCCAAGAGATGCAGTGTTCATTACTCTCTAAGAGAATCCTTTTGGAAACAGAAGAGAGAAAATTGGCTAAATTATACCAAGCAATGTTTCTCATGCAGACCTCTGAGGAACTTTTGAACAACTGCAGTCATCCAACGCACCTAAACAATTACCATTTGGTCCTGTAGCAATTCCATTGAGTGCAACAAATTTCATTTCATACAATCAGAATCTTACTGAAAGATCTGCAAAAGATCCTCAGGGATCAATGCACCCTAAAAAGAAATGCAAAAAAAATAGAAATACGAGCCAAGACAGACAATACATGCTTCATGATGATGAGGAAGGGCGCTGCCCATCTCGAAGTTTCTTCTCCAGCTCCCGAACCAGCACTACAGTGGATTTGGGCAATACCTCAGAGCCAGATGCTATACTGGCCTTGACTTTCTCCTGCTCTTGAGATTCAGTAGGGTGAGGTCCTGAGCTCCCACTTGTTGAGGAAGAAGCTGAGGATGCAGACGCAGATGGAGGTTTTGGCTCCCCATCATCCTCCTTTTTGAATTCAGAGGTATCACCATCCTTCATGCATTCTACAAGTAGGGCTTTCACTTGGTTCTCCTTCTCAGTCAGTTTCTGCAGCTTTTCTTCCATATCCAAGAGATGCTCCTTGTCTACCAGGTCTATGATCTGGAGGATCTGATTCTTTGAGATCTGAACATCCTCCTCACCAAGTAAATCTATCACCTATAATCAGACAAGCCTCCTACTGATGAAAGGTTTGTAGAATCACAAGCCCAGTCTCTATGGCTACAGGCAATCAGAAGCAACAAAATTCAAGAAATGTCAATTGGTGACCTAGTACTCACTCTCAACACTTGGTAGACATGGATCCTGCCATCATGATCAGTGTCAAGGTGGCTGAGAACTTCAGCAACAAATTCCAGCTTCTTTTGATTAGGGATGCGCTGAACCTTTTGTATAGCATCGATCATCTCATCAATCTTGATCAGCTCTGAACTGCAAGAATCACACATAGAGGCAAATATAAACTCAGTTTCATAATTTTGGAGTTTCCATAGTAGATTACTCTGAAAAGAAATTATAACATCTCCAACTAAAGATACAAGATACCACAAAATTGCTCTCACTCACCAAGATTCTTCCCCAATGCCTGCAGCAACAGTCTTACTTGCGGTCTCCTGCTTCTCATGGCGCCCCACCTCTAGGCTGCTGATAGCACGATCCAACTTTTCAATCATTGAATTTACCTTCTTGAAGAGAAATTTGGCAGCAGTCCGCTCTCGTAATTCCTTCACTTCTCCTTTGGACAGCTTCAGGAGTTCTTGGAGATCTTGAACATCCTGTGTCATAAATATGAAGAAATATTCTTTGAACATAAAATGCAAGGTGATATTCAACATGTCAAATATAGAATGAATGAAGACTCATTTTACCTCACTGTAGTCTGAGAGCTCAGCCCTCATACTCTCCAATTCTTCTCTCTCAACCCATAGTTTATTCTTGTCCTTTGAGAGCTTCTCAATTGCTCCCTCAAGAGTTTCTATATCTTGTGGTGTGACAACTAAGGTGTGATCTTCACCTGTCTCCATAGACATGCTGGGGGCTTTGTCTTCCAACAGTGTTGCCACATCCTTCATAAGCTCTGGGGCCTGATGATGGGAAGACAGAGGATAAGTTATGAATAGGAAAACAAAAGGTCAGTAAAAGTTACTTGGATTGTATACAGGGTGTCTCAGAATTCAGAGAACAAGAGGATATAGCATCAATAAATAATGGATACGTTGATATCAAACTATTCTCACATTATTTTACCTAATAAGGCTTAGAAATGATAAAATTAATAATTTACCATTATGGTTACATGGGGCTTATTACTTTACAAAATCATGAGCCCAATTGACCTTGAAATTACATCACAAGATATGTTGCACTTGATATTAAATAAGATAGCAGAGTGAGTAATAAGAAAGGCATAACATTTGAGTAAAAGTACAATATACATTCATCTTGCCAAATCATTTCAGGATTGTCACATTTTGGACAGGCCTACAATCTGTTCACAGGGAAAAAGACTGATGTCTATCGATCCCAATGCAGAACATCATCAATGCTCCAGTAAGGCACTATTGGAATATCAAAGAAGCTTCATTTGTAAGTATATTGCAATAGTTAAAGAGGCATTTGATCAACAAATAGACCTATAATAACAAAAATAATAAAAATGTAAGCCATTAATATGGCTTTCCTATGTTTTCTGAGTAGTATGAAAACCCCACATAAATTACATAGGTTGATTTCCCATAGAAACAAGACTTTTTTTTAAATCCATCCTTTCCCAACAATTATTCAGTTAGAAGCCATAGATCAGAAACAAAAGACTCTGTAATATCTGCCCTCACCTTAGCTGTGGGCTCATGAGGACTGGGAAGAGCTTTAGCACCAGCCTGAAGCACCTGCTCAGCTGTCAATGATTCCTCCTAAGATAGAGAAATGAAAAAAGAAAAAGAAAAACTTGCATGACTTATTGGATTTGAAGCTACAAACAGAAATATATATATTTTTTAAATGCCAACTCTTTCCATTTTCATATTTGAATCACCTGAAATAAAGTTTCCTAATTTCAAATTACAAGTTTTTCATGCTTTTGCCTATTGTTCAAGTAACCTTGCAAATGTACTTTCTTAAACTGTCAGTTTCTTCAAGATACTCCACCAAAAACAAGGACCAGAGAAGCATAACTATGCTAGCACAACCTGGGGTAAAACCTCATCATGCTGTACGTACTGTCTGAAGGCTGCAATCACAGATGATTGGTATTTCATTATCATAGGACAGGAAGAGGCAATAGGGAAGAAGATTTCTCTAATAACTACATGTGGCTGTTTTTTTTATAGGGTGGGTATCACTTGTGTTGGACTTCAATCAGAATTTCCTTGTGTCTACACTCTCTTTACCTGGATCCTGTCTTTCTCTTGCTGCTTCCGCTTTTCCACCACTCGTCTCTCCTCTCTTTCCTTTGCAATGATTGCTTCCTCAGTCTTGATCAATTCCAGCTGCTCCAAGTTACTGATTTTCCCCTCACGTTCACGCAGTGCCACGCGAGCAGATTGTGCCTGTTATGGAAACACGAACATGAACTCAGAAAAACTGACTTCATTAGTTTCTTTTTGACTTCAACAAACTAATGGGAAAAGATATACTGCTTACAACTTCTTCAGGAAGCTGAGAGATGGTAACTTTAAGCTGATCCTCTGTGGGAAGATCTTCAGGCAAGAACAATGCTCGTGATAGAAGTAAGAGAGAGGCTGGAACTTTTTCATTCAGGCTCAGCTGAAGCCACTGGCTAAGCATTGATCTTAGCCTTTCCTGGGACACACCATATGCTCTCATACCACGAGTTCTACAGGCCTGTTGCAACTCCCAGATGGTCAAGGATTCAATCCCTTCATTCTGAATCATCTATAAGCACAAGCAAGCCTTTCACAATATTGACACTGATGAATTGGTTTCAACTTGCCAAGTGCTCCTTTTGTATAATGTTTTCCCAAATCTTCTCTTCAATTTAGCATAACTTACAAAGGCAAGGTATAAAGCAGGAGAATGGATACAGCACTCTAAGCCCACCACAGTGGAAAAGTGGACTTGGCTACAATCTTTAACTGTAAAATGGACTGTTTGCTTCTGGATCTAAATTTACTCAAAAAACATGCAAAGTACATGGCAATAGTATCCCATTGGCAAATACCCTGTTCATTCTTGTAAAAATTCTTTAAAACAATAAAATTGAGATCAAATGCACAAGTAGGCTGATGACAAATTTGGTACATGGATGGGTAGAAATGGCATATGACAACTGAATTATACATATTCCTCTCCAAAGTCGATGTTCAATTTGAAAGGTTGAATGGAGAGATAATGAATGTAAGCTTAAAAAAAACTGATAGATGTATTGGAGTACATATTTATTGCAAAATGAATCAAGGCAGACAGGACTAACCTTGTCATCTGCTTTCAGGGCCCGAAGTTTCATTCGGAGATGGAATCGCAAGAAGTTGGTTGTTCCTATGGGTTGTATTTCTAGCACACGACACAGAGCAACCAACTGAGGACGGGTAAGATTATCAAGAGTGATTTCATCCTCAAAGAGCTTGGAGAAAGATATAATCTCCTCATTGGTAACCTGGCCACCTTTACGGCGCACCTGAAGGAGGATTGAATGGATTAACAGTCAAGACAAAATAGACTGTAATATATATATATTATAAATAAGGGTAAAGTACCTGTTCAAAAAACAAGGCAAAATTCTTGGCTTTATCAGACTGTCTCTCATTGACAGCTTGAGCAGCCATTTCATCCAGTGTTGTCTGAAGAAACTTAGCCATCTCCAGCTTCACTTTTAGCTGCCGTTTGATTTTCAGCTCCTACCAGAACAAAAAACATTCAGATGAAGCTCTAAAACAAGAATTACATATGAAGGGCATGACAAAAATAAAAAACTTGACTTGCATATCTCTGCTCTCACTGCAGATATTTGACATTTCATCCAAGTTGGTCTAGTAATACCAAGACTATGAGCAATTATTCAAAAGGAATCAGAAATAGAAAATGGAGGGGGGAACTGGGTGACTAGGCTCTGCCTGTCTTGTTTTTCATTGAAAAACTTCTTTTCAACAAAACCTTGTTTTCCAAGGAAAATGAAGGAAAAATAAAAGACGTTCCACGAGGAAAACTTTCAGGATTTTCCTGACAAGTGTCTACCAAGACAATTTCCTGCCTTCCCTTTCAGTCTTTCTGTCCCTTTCCCCAAAATCTTCCAACATTCAGTGTCTGGCCAAAGCCTATCCTGTACAGGGTTCAGCCAGACATCCAGACATGGATTATTCCCAGTCTGGATTTCACAAACCCACCTAATATGATACCTTATCTTCAGCACCAAAAAACCTGGTCTGGGTGGCCAACAGGGATCAAAATTGACCCATTTCCTAAGACTGAACATCCTAGAGCAACCCAAACTTTCCAAAGTTGACTGTCAGTCTATGGAGTCTATGGATCAACTTCAGTCTCTTTGGGTTAATCTGGGTCACCTGTACCAAATTTTGCAATTAGCATAACTACAGCATTACATCTTGACATGAAAAAAATGAGGACTGTGGGATTCCTTTTCCTTGCCTATCCTATTGAAATGCCTTCACTTTTCTTTCATCCTTCCCATGGTGCCAAGTGACAGGCTAACATCTCTAGTGAGACATTGGAATAATTTTGAGACCACAGAGATTAGATGAAGCTTCTTGCATAATTAATTAAAGGAAGACCCTCAGTGCATGAGTTTCCTGCTCATGATCATGTCAACATGGACTCAGCCTGGGACATAGTACATTTATGATTTGTAGGACTCTCATGATTTGATATTTCATCAGTGAAGACTCCAAGGAACAACTGTCAATCTTCAAGTGCCAAACTTTAAATACATGAACCAATCTGACTCACATTCTCAAGATATTCCCCATTAAAGTGCTTATTATCAATGCATGAATGCAAAATATATCCCTGCTCACATTGGAATCAAGAACTTCTGCTCAGGCATAACTGACAGCAGGGATTACACTTGTCTTTAAGGAAAAGAACCATGCAAATGTGAATTTCCCAAGGCAATGCAGGAATGCAGGTATATGCATGATCAACTTCTCAATTTGCTCAAGATAATATGAGTCCATCAAGCATCTGATAGAATAGAACACTGGTAGATTGATTTTCCATGAGGTTTACAAAAAAGACAGTTGCACTCTCTTTGGTATGGGTTTAGATTTAATTTAAAGATGAAGAAAATCTGCATTTAAGGAATCAAAAGGCAATCAATACATGCAATATATGAACCATGGAATATGGGAATCAATATATGCAGCTACATATCATGAGTCACTAGAAAGAAAACCCCTGCTTGTGGAAAACTTACCTTGTCATTTTCACTCTGAAAGGTTGATGGGAGCATGGAGGGGAATAACTTCAGTGCAACAGGCAGCAGTAACTCCATAAAAGGCACTATGATAAATATTGAAAAGGGAAGCAGGCGGAAGAGATCTGACACGGTTCGCACCAACTGGAAAATCCAACAAAAATATTTATATTCAGAATGAGTAGAAATTACTAAATGCAATCCCATAGGCCCACAGCAGATACAATCTACTGTTTTGTCAAGGAACAACTACTGCAACCTGAAAAGCATAAGATAATAGGATACTAACCTGTTTTGACTCCCGACGAGACAAATCCTCACCATGAAGCACCCTCCAAATGAGCTTTGCAGAAACCTTCACATCTATGAAGAGTAGTCGAAAGCCATGATAGTAATGCTTCACTTCATCTACCACTTTGTCCCATATAGAGCGCTTTGGTTTCTTGTCTACAATTTCCTCTAGAGATTGCTGAATCGGAACAATAATCTCCTTATTCTTCTCCTGCTCAAGCTTGCTTTCTTTAGCATTTTTTACAGCACCCTCAAGCTTGGAGGATTCCTTAGAGAAGTGATATGTCTTGACACTGAAGTCTCTGGCAACAACATGGTATGTCAAAGGCTCATGATGACAACTTGACACAATTGATGAGGAGCAGACAAAAAAGGTTCGCTGAGCATTAATGACAAAAGTGAAATGTGAGTAGTCAATCAGGGAAGAGGTATGAAAATAAGATGTGGACACCTTCACAGGGGGTTTCACCAAGAGCATCTGTCCAACATGATTCCTGACACAATGAAGCTTTAGCCGACTCAAGCGGTTCAACTGATGTTTCCATTGAGGCATTGCACTTGGGATTTATCGAAATTATCACCATGCAATCCTTGATGAGTTGGCAATGAGGGCTACTGGAAGAAGCATACCATATAATGGCAGAATAATCACAAATCAAAGTACATGACATCTCTTTCTGGATGAATAATTGAATGAATTAACAGTCAGATCTACTAGCATTAAAATACAAGAGGCACATTTATAACATAACCTCTCTCACCATTTAAGATGTCAGAAAAATGTTGACCATGTCTTGGGGTCTAGCCTAGCTTTAACAAATTACCTATCTTGGGTTGCTATGAGTCAGAGAGTCTGGACTGCTATGACATACATTCAGTTAATTATTTTAAGTATTGAGAAAATCACAATTCAGTTCAAGTATGAATCCTAAACTGCCCTAGCTAGGACCAATGGAGGAAGTCACTCTTCAATGCATGTTCAATAAAAACTTTAAACCAAAATTCATGGCAGCTTTCAAAATGAGGAAGAGAGAACAAATACTCTATGCATAAAATATCCTGGTCACCTTACCATCCTATGGTGGGAATGCCAAAATGCATCTATACTAATTTTACTTTCCATAGTTCCTCCAATAAAAGTTTTTTATCACAATGATTTCCCATGCTATGAAATTTAACTTTTCTCTGCACAGAATTGGGACTTATTTTCTTCATGATATTAAGCATGATCTGAAAATGCATATAGGTATAAAAATCAGCTGTGATCTAATGATCAGCTTGAGAAATCCTCAGCTGCTGGAGCATAATTATATTGGCATATTTTGAAACTCATGCCACCTTAATACTTTCCAACGGTTTCCTGATCTGCATCTACACATAAGAGTGGACTACTGGTTTTTCAATTTTTTATGTTTATTTTAATCGAAATTCAACAAAATAACCAACAAAAAATTACATGCTGGAACTCGATACCTCACATGCTCATACCTATCACTAATCAGCATATACACATATTGTCATCAGATGCATGACTTTGACCATTCACAGCATGTTTCAGGCATATGACACAATCACTGCAAACATCATTTCAATTGCTTACCCATTTCAGCAACTGACATATTCACACAAAACTGGGACTCTCAAGAAGTGATCAATAGTTATAAACAAGAACCACAATGGTACAAGAGAGTCTTTCAGTGAATGGCATAGGGAAATTTCAAAGCATATGATAATACAATAAATGGAGGATTTTAGTGCCCATATACTCAAAAGATCTCCTGGGCAACAGGGATGAACAGAAACTAAGATTCAAAAGAATGCAATAGATTCATTAAGTATGGCAACAAATGTACAGCTCCTCAGCAAAAAAATCCAAAATCTAAGATATGACCATTAGAAATAGGTTCTCAGATGTAACATGATGAATCTGAAGGTTTTCATAAGGATTTCTGATAGAAATAAGGGAATACATTGTACTGAAGAATGAGCCCTGCAACCATTGAAATGAGAAATGAGCACTGCAACCATTGGAATAACAGTCATTACACCTGACTTTTCCTCCTAGAGTTCCGCAAGTCTTTTTCAATCTGGAACTGTCGAAAGTCAGAACGAGAGAGGAAGTCTTGTCTCTCAGTGAAACTTCCTCTGCTCTTCTTCACATGCTCAAGTTCATCATGGATACCTGAACTTGCTTTGAAAGTCGTCCAATCTAGCTTGGACTTTTCCAGTGTACTAATTTTTTGCTTCTTTGATATTGCACCCATCACTGAAGCAAGACTGCCACTTGAAGAAGCTACATTAGCTGCAGGATCTTCTATCTTCCTGGACTGAGAAACCTGTTTGTCAGTGTAGATTGGCTGGGCACTACGGTCCAACGTGGAGGAGCTGGTAGGCAAACCAGTTTTCACAGCCTGATCACCAAATCCTGAAACTTTCATTATGTCAACTCCTGCAAGTTTGCATCTACCACCAGATTGATCAGGTTCAGGAGTACCAGAAGTAACTGTTATCTCAGACTTCCCATCCTGTAGTGAAGAAGGCTTTGCAACATGTTGAACATCCTTCTTAAAATCTTCCCATATTGACTCTGTCCTTTGCTTAATCAAGGTATTATCAAACTTGCTCTCCTCAGAAGGATCCTGTTGTACTGTATCACTTGCAATTTTTTCCCTCACACTGGATTGCTTTTTCTTACGCTTTCTGGCTTTGTGCTGCTGTGAGACTGTAGTGCCCTCTTCAACCAATTCTTCATCTGTGATGTCTGACTCATCATCATCAGCTAATGTTTTAGTATCAGGAATATAATCCTCATCACTTGAGTCAGAGCTGGAATCTCCGTGAAGATTTACAGTGACTTTCATTCTTCCGTATTGAAACCTGCAAATTTATATGAAAAGCTGCATACATCAATCCTAGCAGTTGAAAAAATTTGCATATAATCCAGAGATACAATTCACAGGACAGATGAAGCCAGATTACCAGCCTTTTCACTGGGTTGAGCTTTGTCCTTTGATTAATTTCATCTCAGAGAGGTGGGCTATGTGGGGAATGAAGCTTGCTGCCTCAGAAATAGGAAAGGTTGAGGCAGTGATTAAATTTCCAAATAAACACATAGCATTGTTTATATAACCTCAAGACCTTGTATGAAAAAATCTCTACAGTTCTTTGGATAGGCTAGAGTTCAAGCATACATAAGAGGATATGCAGTAGCATGGGACTGTGAATCATCCTTTTGAACAGAATTTGTACCCCCATAAGAGTGCTTCCATAGATTGTAAGAAATAACATCTTCCACATGAGTGGTTTTGTGGATCATCTGATGAAGTAGATATATTGTTTCCTCCAATCTCCACTTTAGGGGGGGGGGGGTTACGAATTCATTCCGAAAACAATATATGAGGAGGATTGTTGCTATGCTCCCTTGGATATGGCCACTACCTAAGCCATCACCCAGAAAGCTCCCCTTCCTGAGATCATTGCCACAATGAAACCCTGGCAGAAGATAAGTTCTGGTGAGCTACTGAAAGGACCAGACTCTCTAATTGAGGGTATGGAGGCATGAGTACATTTGTAGGCACAAACGGGGCCTGTCGGTTGGCATATGCTATCTAAAAGGTAAGAGTAATTTTTAACGTTAGCTAGGCCCATACTGAAAGCCTAACTTATCCAGGGTCTAGAGCCGACTCTCATTCCATTATGGGTGATTTACGCTGAGACAATATTGTGTCAGTCACCGAAAATGTCGAACCACATATCTCTGTCCAAGGAGGGAGTCAGTCTCCCGAACCACACCGAACAGACGAAAACGTCATGGATTCATAGGTCACATCAGCCGTCTGCTATGGTTAGAATAGAGCCCGCACGGGCCGCGGGACCCAGCCAGACTGATCGGGTCGGGCCGATGCGCAAGAGCTTGGTCGGTTCTGTGTCGCACCTCTCTAGGATATTTTTCTCGTAGTCTTATCTCCAGAGCCATACTCCTGAATAGGCGAACAGGAAGCGCACTCAAGAGCGCCTCGTGTGAGGTGGTGCCAACCCGCTGATGACAAACGAAAAAAATGTCCACGGAACTTTAAGATTTCATGGTGAGTCACACCCCTCTCCCACCCCTCCTGCACGAGCTTGAGCCAATGAGTGGTGTGCGTTCTGCCGAAGGGCGCTGGAAACCTTGATCCGGTCCGGATCAAGGTGTCTGCCTCTGCGATTCCCCATGCTTCGCAGCTGCTTTTATTTTTCACCAGTCGGGCGGTCCTTGGAATTCCAGTGCCTGGACATAGTGTTTATCCAAGAAGCGCAACGACGCGTCCTTCAATGACGACCTATGACATTATTTTTATTACTGAAGACTTATGATAGACACATGATATCTTCGTCCTTGCTCATGACGACGCTTTGAACAACGTTTTCCTTCCTGGGAATGGTAAGAAATACATGAGCAACAGTGACGTTTTGCCCTTCGGCCAGTACGCCCAACAGCAATCGATCACGTGACCGAGTTTCATTGAATCTGTAACTTGCTGAGCGCTTTCCTGGCTTTCATTTCTACCATGCTTCATCTCGGTTACTCTGCCCACTGGCCCTTGAGAAAGGCACTGCTGTTTAAAAAAAAAAAGGAAAGTGTATCATAATTCTTGGGAATGACAGCCATTAACATGTGTCTCTCAGGCCCCGATTTTTTGTTGTCTTTTGTTTTGACTGATATTGACTCGGAGTCCATAGCCGCGGTGCAGTCGCCGTGATTAGGCGAAAGATTCAGCAACTCCGGGCACATTGTGATTACGTTGAGGTACGAAGGTGGTAAGCGAAATGAAGTGCAAAAAAAGCATCGTTTTGGGATGATCAAAGCAATATAATTTCATGAGAGAAAAGTCAAGAAAATACCCGGAGTGAGGGCAGAAATTCGCGTAAACGCTCACTTTTCCAGAAGCACCGAAGCGAATCCCCTCGGTGCATGCCTTATGTTTCGCCTTCGTCCAGGTCGGAATCCTGAAGATATGCCATCAAGGCAGGCTTGAATGCCAAGGACACGGGGAGACGCTCCCACCGCCCTCCCGCGCGCGCGCGAGACGAGGGGGAAGAATCGGACGGACGAAGAAAGCAGGGCCCCCCGACGGCTGCATCCGATCGAATGCCCTGGCAGGCGATCCTCACCGAAGTCTTGTTTCCCTTTCAGTATTTCCAGTACTGGGTCTGTACTTGGGACCACCGAGGCAACTCTCACGTATCGAACTCGACTTAGCAGTGTTTGCCGCGTTGATTTTTCAAACGGTAAGTTCTTCTAGGTACGTTCAGTAATTGCTCAGTATTGCAAGTAATTTTGATCTCTCGATCCGTCCAGCTTTTCAGATTATCATATTATTCATTTATTAAATTAATAATATTACAGCTGCAGCGAATCTTTTCCAACCGATGGGTGATTTTGTCGGCCTCCTCCATCCAGTACTTCCAGTTCGTCTGCGATTCCCATTCCCTTGATGGAAGGTGCAGACACGAT